GTCTGAGACTCAATGGGCAAAATAGTCATTTACTTGTATCACATAATAAATAAGATAAAGTCCGAGGAAAAATAGTCATTTACTTGTATTTTACTGGACCTTATAATGTACAACAATACACTTGAGTGAGTGGTCAAGGGCAAAATGGAAAAAATAAGTCACAAATGCTTACTACATAGGAACTGGTCAACGTGTATACATCACACATCAACTGGTTTGGGACGTGAATAGTGGAAAAGCCCACTGTCAGGATACCGGTCGACGTATGGAAGGTTACACGTCGACTGGTTAAAGACTTGTACAGTGGAAATGCTCATTGCCAAGATACCGGTCGACGTGTGGGAATTTCACGTCGACTGGTTCAGGTCATCCGGTTGATGTATGGGATTTTACGTTGACTGGTTGGGTTATCCTCACCCAAAATGTCACTGTCGGAAGGAAACCAAGATACACCAACTTTGATACACAACCACCCACACCACTATACTCACGTACATGTTTAAATACATTCTAACACCTAATACAATAACAACAATGATAACAAAAATTTTGGATGATACATAACACATTCCAAGAAAAATACACCAAAAAGGATTTAATAAGGTTATTTTTAAGTACATCTCCAAATACATCAAAATATACATATATGTATATGTATCCAAAAGAATAGTCACTCCACTTCAGTGACAATTTCAAAATAATACCAGTTTGTTTTAGTTATTACAAAATAATACATATTGTGCCAATTCTTTGCAAAATGAGGCTTATAAACCAAAATATAATGACAGTCTTCTAGTCCAAGTTAAGGCTGTGGTGGATTGTCGTCCGCCACTTCTTTTCCATACCCTGAAAATGTTAAATATAAAGGGGTGAGCATAAAGCTCAGTAGGAGGTGCCTAAGACACACCTCTTATGACCCCATGAATTCCAAACAATGAATAGAGTGAAGAAAACGGGATCATACAACTTGGAGAAGAAAGATAACCATAATATCAACAACAAACAATCCAAGTCACAATTACGTCATATAGGCCAATGAAGTGCAATGCCATGCTCATGTCGCTCCCCATTTTCTAAAACATTTTCATTTCAACATCTAAACCGTTAGTGTAATCTGACCCAAGGCACCTCCAAGGCGTCACATCCGGCCTAGTTAGTTCAACCATACTCCCTTCTAGACTACACTAACACTACGGACCACTAGGCGCCTCCTAGGCGTCTGGGTTTTCGCAAACACTTTTCAAAACATTTACAAAAAAAAATCATTTTTTTTTTCTTTACTTTTCAAATCTTTTTCCCATTCCTTCCCAATGTTTATGCATGAATGTATCATGCCATCTCATGCCATGTCAATATTCATTATCACGCTTTTAATTTAAGCTTAACCACCTAACATGCTTTATAATAACATAAACAACGTATCATGCTTCCAAGTAAATAAAAAATTTAGCATGTTAAGCACAAAATATATGAAAATAAATCCACATAAGCATATTTCTCACAACAATTTCACAAACCACTTACACATATGTCCTCTACACATAGAATTTCACATAGATATACAAATCATTCAAGAGTTAATCATAATTAAGCATGCATTTCACACAAATCAACTTATACACATAATGTTGAGCTTCATATATAACCACTAAATCATTTTAGAGGCAATCATCTCAAATTAAGCATGCTTGGCTATAATTAACAAAGAAAAATTTACAATGGAACAAGAATTTCATGGATTAGGAATCCCTACCTCCAATTAAGCAAAAATCCCCAATTCCTTGCCCCAATTTCGAAATTCCAAGGTGCATCAAACTAGAAATTACTCGGATTAAATAGCAGATCTCGTCGTGAGCTTCAGTTTGCCGCAAACGGCACTCAAAAATACCAAATATTGAGAGAGAGATCAAGAATTGAAATTTGGAACCAAAAAAAAAAAGAAAAAAAATCAAAAATAAGAAGAGGAGGGAGAGAGATGCGGGAGAAGAGAGCAAATGAGAGACCAAAAAGTGGTCTCTAACCCCTTTAAGGGGGTGGTGGGTCCCACTTCATTTTTCTTTTCTTTTTTCTTTTTTTTTTTGTTTTCAATTTATACCACATACATACATAAATACACATCTAATTCACAATTACTTTAAACACATTAAATAAAATAAATATGATGCAATGAACCCAACTAAGGCCCCTGTACTCGACAATTCAGTTAGCGGGTCCCACACGAGACCATCCGGCCCGAAAAACTGAAAATGCCAGAATGACCACCCTTGCATTTCAAATAGCCCTGAACTCAATGAAATGCCCCAACCAACTCTCGGATACAATCGGCACACTCCACGATGTCCGACACGCGAAACGAGGAAGGACGAAAGTACCCTCGAAAAATCAAAAAATGAAAAAAAATGGTGAAAATTGGAATCACTACATAGCCACAGAGAGAGAGAGAGAGAGAACAATTAAGGTGATTTTATGTGAAAATACTCTGAACGCACTAATGTTAATGTTAATGTTAATGTATAAGTACGTGATTAATCAAGAGAGAATAAGAAGTGGGACAATTGGATTTTAGTAACCAAAATTAAACAAAATTACGGGAAAGTGACCGAAAATTTGAGAAAAGATGAATAGTGACTAAATTTAAAACTTAAATTCTACTAAGTGACCATTTGATATTTTATTACCTAAATGTCCTTAGAATAAATAAATTTTTGTAACCCAAAAATCACTTTATTTTTTTTATTTATTTATTTTAAGGTAAAAATCACTGAATTTCATTAAATAGTAACAGTTAAATCAGTTTAATTAGGATCAAAAACATCCAAACAAGTCAACTTATTTGTGTTCCATGTGATACCATGACCCCAGCAGGTATCAATACGCGTTTGCTTGCTTGTGACAACTTCAATCTTTCTAGAGTCTAGATATTATCACAGCTTCAATAGGAAGACAAGATGTCATGTGATTTGGAGTTTATTTATTAGGCTCAGTTGACGTTTTGTGTTTGCTGTTGTGTGTTCGGTATATGCGTAGCTTACTTTAAGCTTATAAATATAGCAAAAGGTCCCCTTAATATAATTTGAGATTTTGAAAAAAAATATAAAAGTGTGTCTTTTAGTTTTTAATATAATAATATCAAAAAATAGTTAATAATATTTATTTAAAAATCATACTTATTGTTTTGGAGTAGAAAATTACTAACTTCAATTCCTTTTGAGTATTAGGTTTAAGTTGAGTCAAATACAAAGTGAAATTTTGTAAGAAAACAAAAACAGAAGAGTCCAATAATATAAAATAAAAAAATAACAGGGGCCAGGTTACCTTCAGAGAATATCAGCATTTATCATGGAGCTCCAGTCAAATTCATTTTTATTTATTTATTTTTGTCACGATTATTTATAAATATTGAGGCACAAATCTCTAATTGTTTGAAAAAAAATTGTATGAGAATTATATGGTCAAATTTTCATACCAAAATTCATTTATAGCAAATCAAACGAATCAAAATTTCATACCAAATTTATTGACAGTAAATCACACAATATGCATTTTTTATTTTGATCAAATTATACTATTAACTTTGACCGTCTTGTATAAATATATTTTATAGCATCTTGAACCTTTTTTTTTTCTTTTTTTAACAGTGAGATCACTTTAATATTGGCAACGTAATGATATAATTTGGATTTTTTTTGGGCCAAAATATATTAATTTTAAAAAAATTTATGAGAAGTCTCGTGAGAAGACTTCATGAATTTAAAATAAATTAAATAATAATAATAATAAAAACTAAGAGTCGATGCAAAGTTTTTTCATTTTATTAAATAAGAATGAATAGATGATGAGTTAAATTATAGAGACTTGACTGATTCTCACCCAAAAAAAATGCTGAAAGTCAATGAAATTGAGTCATTTGACAATTGCGTTTCAACTAACGTGGTGGACCTTAGCTCTCATTATTTAATGAATTTACAAATTTCGTTTCAACGAATGTGCTGGATTTGTTTAATATTTTCCTTAGATTTCGAATACGAAACGAGTCATTCAGTTTTGGTGGCTTTGTGGGGTTCTCGAAGGTCACATACTTTGGTCGAGAATTTAACAATGTTATAATTATGAAATTATTTTAAAAACAAAGAAAGAGAAAAAAAAAATATATATATATATATATATATATAGAGGCTCAAGTGCGTAAAACACTTACCAAATATGTTTGTAATGTAGATCACATTCTTCACGTGCAAACAACACTCCTAAAGTTTAAATTTAGTACAAATAAATTCTTCTAACAAATTTAAATCATAAATTGACTAAATTATCTGAACCATTTTATAAAATATATAAAAATAAATAATTTTATCAAATGACCAAAAATAATACTATTAGAGGCCGCCAATAATGGACAAGTAAAGATAAAAATAGAAAATAAAAATAAAAAATAAAAAAAAACGAAATAAAGTGAAAACTAAAGAAAACAAATTTGCTCCAAACTCCGAAATCCAGTGCAAATTGAAATTGGGATTTTTCTGTCTTTTATTTTTTATTTTTTATTTTTAATAGTGTTGGTACGAAAAAAAAAAAAAAAATAAAGAGAAAGCAGTAAACTGAAATCTCAAAAAATTCAAATCATTATAAGGTAATGTGCACATAACACCTCTGTACCATATGATTAGTAACATATATACCCCCTTGGACATTTTCGAAAGAGGAAAAAGGACAAAACGGATATTATAACACTAATTTATGTTAGATTTATGATTGAGGGGTATTTCTGCACAATGTGAAAAAATTAATGATATTTTTTTGCACACTTTTTCAAATAGGGAGTAAAAATTCTATGTGGAATATATTTTTGGAGTATTTTCTGCACTTGACACACATACACACACACACACACATATATATATATATATATAACGTAAGAAATGAAGAGAGATATATATATATATATATATAGATTACACGTTTGCAGTACACGTTTGCAGCCAAACTGTTCATAACACGTTTTCACAATCGTTTACTAGTCTTTATTTCTCCATACAAGTATATATTTTATCATTTCTTTTCTAGACAGCTATTTCTCTGAGTTTGGTTCCTTTCTTCCTCAGTTACCATTGTTTTACTTCTATTTTTCTTAATTGCTTGATCCTCGACCAGCTATATCTGCCACGCCTTCAAAGTTTAAAACTCCAGGTCAGTAAATTAATAGTCCGTTATTCTTCTTTTGCATCATTTTACACACACACACACATATATATATATGAAAAGTGTTTTCCTTCGTTCAGAGTGCAAATAGTCTCTAGGCAACATAATGTTTAGTTCCTATATTTTTCAATCTCATCATAACTCGATCAGTCATGAAATCTATGAGATGTACATATACATGTCTTAATCAAACTTAGCACTGCGAGATTATTCCTCAGCAAAAACAAAAAAACAAATTACCATTGAAATATTTTCGTATTACCATTAATTTACCAAACAAGTGGAGAGTTCTTATAGGTTGAAGAGAGAGAATTAAAAAGTTTATTTAACATTCTATGGAAAATATCAATTTTTGTTAATTAGTTTTGATCATATGGTAAGGATTCACCGATTCAGTGAATTTTTAAGTTGTAATATATATTTTAGTTTTGATTGTTATAGAGATTAGAGGAATGTCTTGGAATCCTATTCATGGAAAACTCTTGCTCTCTCTTATTCATAAAGAAATTGAAGGATTCAAGCATAGTGTAACAAAGATCATTTGTTCCATATCGAATCCGAATAGAAAAGTGGGTATAAATAGGTGGGTATATAGCACTACTCAATAACTTGAGTTTTTTGGTAAATAGATAAGCGTTCACCCGTTACTGTTGGTATTAAAGTCAAACCCAGTCCTTGATCCGGTGTCACACAAAGTGCACGGCCCGGAAGGCGTTTATAGCTCGGGAACGAGGGCGCTGCGAGTTTGAGTGGGGGAGAATGTAGCAAGAGTCATTTGTCCCACATCGGATCCAAGTTTGGGTAGGGGAGAATGTAACAAGGGTCATTTGTCCCTCATCAGATTCGGATGAGAAAGTAATTGGGTATAAATGGGTAGGTATGTAATACTACTCAATAACTTAAACTTTTGAGTAAATGGGTAAACTTCCACCCGTTACACATAGTGTGTGTATATATATATATATACACAAAAGAAGATGTGGTGAGGGAGAAAGAATGTTTTTATTTTATTTTTATTTTATTTTTTTATTGACTTGTTGAGTTGTTGATTCTTTGTTTTTGTTTCGGATTCTTTCTCTAAAATAATCCGATCAAAGTTACGATCTCATCATCTTCTTTTTGACAGAATCAAAACAGAATGGCAATGATTCTCCTAAACGATTGAAAATCGGAGTGAGGGTCTCTAAGTCTTTTTCTTGTTTTAGAAGGGCTGCGAAACTCAAAAACTTTTTAGGGTTTATATAAAAGCCACATATAGAAAAGGGTAACTACTTTGGATTTGATTTAATTCTGGATTTGGAACTTTTTAGGGTTTATGATATAAAATTAATTGTGAAAAAAGTTCAATATTAAGATAATTGGAATATGCTAGTAGTTTCTCATGATTTTGTGAATTTGATTCGATTCTGTCTTCTCCACAACAACCACCCTTAGAATTCCACCATGCAAGGTGTCACAGGGTCAATTTTTTGCACCAAAATCCTTACCCTATGATGGCACTAAGCCAAGAATAAAAAACAACTTTCATTCTTGACTTAGTCAGCTACACAACATGCACACATTAATTACAAAAAGGCACAGAAGAGACACAGCATTTACAGAGGCTAAAGCCTCAAACCTTCACTATTATTCACGAAATAGCACAAGGAACCCTCAATGTCTGCACAAGCTCAGAGTGTATATCTCTGTACTTACGACAAACCCCTCTATTACAATTTATAACCCACTCTAGAAAACTGACTACAACTGCAACAAGGGTGAGTGAAGGCATCCCCCCACTATAGGATCATGTTAGCATTAACTACCAACTACATAGGTGTGTTGGCTCACTCCGGCACTACCACATTGCTCAGCAATTGCCTCACATATATCTTCAGTACATGACCATGTCTTCAGAGATGGGAGGAACTGATGCAACTGTTTTGTGAGGTGTCAGCCTTCAAAGAATGCCACTTATCATGGGTGGTTGCTGGCACATTCCCACTACTCCATCATGCATCATGTGTGCACATGTGGGGGAAATGCTCAGTAACTACTCCCAACTATTGGAACCCACAACTGAACCCGAACCACTTAGCCACGTCGAGCCATCATGAACCGCACTATCTGAGTCAAGCCCACGAATCTGAATGCCCACAAATCTGACCAAGCCAAACCCACACCTTGAATTGATCCATTAGAGCATAGCGTTGAGCCATGCCCACACCTTTGTTGACCACGCCTTGGTCTATTGGGACATGGCGCTGAGCCATGCATGCCGATTCCATGTTGACTAATCCTTGGTCTGGGACATGGTGTTGAACCATGCCTACGCCTTGGCCATGGCCATGGCCATGGTGCTAAGCTATGACCACACCATATGAATGTCCACCATGGGTCTAGGAGGATGTGACCTAAGTAAGCATACGACTAACCCATATCTTAGTCTGGAGCCCATAACCTTGCCCAAGGGAAAGTTAGCCCACACAAGGGCCCATGGGTGCATGGCGTGTCAAGCCAAACATAAGGTTGGGGACAAACGCATGTGTGCTCTGAGAGTGTCACGTGCGCGCGCATGGTATGTGCCCGCGCATGCACACAACGCATACATGTCTGCTCTTGGTGTCCAGTGCACCACTGATGTCGCCATCTTGTGCCACCACCTTGGGGTAGTGCCATCCATACCTAAGCATGCTAGCCAAGCTTCCAATGTTGCATCGTGCAAGGCATGCCAAGGCCTTGCTGATTGGCATGGGTGCTGGGGGGTCTTCAACTCCCACACCCCTTTTGTTTGAGGAGGTATAATGGGTAAATTAAATTCTTTGTACCTCCAAATCGAAATCTTTCTTCACCAATAGACTTCAATGACTTCAAGAAATCTCTCGTAATTTTTCCATGCCCAAACTCCAAACTTCATTTTTTTGACATATTTACAAAAATGCCACTGTCGCATAGAATGTGCGTTTGACAGCCATTTACGCCCCATACTAGCTGTCAAGAGCCTTGTCAAGATGCCTCCTGACTTAGGCCCTTTGTGGGGCGAAGTTTCAATAACACAAGGTGTATAAGGATATATTTGCTTTATTTTCCCCTTTGATTTTTTTGAATAGAAGAGGAACTCCACTCAATCACACTCTGAATACCACCAGGTAATATGCACGATCGCTTGTTTGATTTTTTTGTTTTTTTTTATTTTTTATTTTTACAACTCCACTCACGAGTCTGCAATAAGAATCTTAATTAGTAATAAATAAAGATAGAATCTATCTTTTCCAAAGTATAATAACTAACTTATGATTTAAACACTTTGAATGAGAGGGATCATTTTTTTTTATCACTAATTAAGAGTTCTTGTCTACAGTAATGACTGCAATTGCGAAAAAAAACCTATCGTCAAGTGTAGGATTTAGGAGCAGTGAATAGAATTTGGGATTAAACAAAATTTAGTAAAAAAATTTGATACTAAATTTTTTTTAATCTCAAATTCAAAACGCGAATTTGATGCTGCCAAACATGATTTGACACTTCCAACCACATCATAATTGTATTACAATCCAGAAAAACAGTTGTGCTATGTTTTTTCTAATCAAGTCCCCACTAATAGTATAGTTGGCCACAAATCCTAAGAATTATTATGTTTGTGTGGTATTCTCTTTTGTGTCATGTCTTGTTGCCGATGAGCTCTTTTACAAATTAACCATGCAATTGTGTCATTGCGAACTCGTGTACAAACATTGAGAAAGTCAATTTAACAACAGTAATAACATCAGTATATTGAGATTTTGATCTTACAGTCTTAACAAATTTTGTACTGGCCATTTTACAATAGTTTATTTTCTTTTTAACCCTTTCTTTAGATAATACTTTACTTTTTTTTCTTTTTTTTTTAATTCTTTTCTTTTTCCTTCGATCACTTGGATCGTTGTGCCATAAGAGAAGAGTAAAGAAGTAATAGTTATACTTTATACCTGTGGTCGTTTGCGACAATTTGCAAAGGAGATTTTAAAGTGACTAACATGTGGGTGGATTCTTGTTATTAATAAAATAAAAATAATTATGCTGCATTCAAATTATTGCTTTCTTGTGTCAGTTTAGCCAAAATTCTAATTAATTAGCGCCAACTAATGTGCAACTTTTATGTTTACTAGATAAAAGAAGGATCATACTGCGATTATGCTAGGTGCTTTGTTTTCTTGGAATTTTATGCAAGCTTTGGTGAGGGGCATAAATTTTTTGATCTATCTCCACCAGGTATTATTTTATGTTCTTTAGTGCTTAAAATAATTGATTATATACAAAATGTCTGAGCATATATGTGTTTTTCAATATTTTGTCACTGCCTATAATTTTAAAATTCTCCTAACAAAGAGAGAGAGAGAAATAAATAATAGGAGTAATAATAAATGATTGTAGTTGTGCACCGAAGAAGTACTTTGAATTCAGTTCATATTAATAGATGAAATTTTATTAGTTACCGTTTAAATGGACTTTTATGTTTGAATTCTATCTAATAGCTATTAGATTTTTATGCTTAAATTCTTCTTTCTTTTGAATCTTCTTCGTTTATAAACTAGGTAGATTGTTATGATTGTTTAAACTGTATATTGTTTTAGCTCAAATTTTAGGTTTGTCTTAGCTATGTTTGTCTTTAATATTCTTGTTACACTTGAATTTCACATAATATATATTTTACAGGTATTTTTTTAATATGTTGGATGTATTTATATCTATATATATATAAATAAATTTTTATTTACACGAAATGCAATCAATAGAAAATTTAATTTTATATACATATTTGGAATTTATATATATATATTAGATAATCATCTTCTTCATATATACATATATAGATTACTCTTGAGTCCCGTTGGAGTTCTTACTAAATATTCTCTTTAACTTAGAATTTTTTTATATTTTTTGTTAAGACCTACAAATTAATGTGTTGTCAATTTTCAAGGAAGGCTGGCTTGGTCATTTAACATGATTGATATTTTCGGGATATAATCTAATTAAGGGATAATTGATTTAGATATTTTAATTGAAAGGTATCATTATCCAAATATTATTGACCTGCATTTAGTTGACATTGAACAAAATAACAAGATATCAATACAATTTGCCCTTTTATATATATATATATAAAACTAACTTTGATCTGACTTTGTCATGCAAATTAACTTGATTTATGATCACACTCATTCAGACCTTCAACGACTACATGGAGACATTCATCAAGACCATCAAGGACTCCATGGAGACGGAGCAGCAGGTAATTACTTTCGGTCGATACGGAGGCGGAGGAGGAAGTGAATGGGATGATGGAATCAATGACACGGTGAAGCAATTAATAATATACTCCGGACAGGTAATCGACTCCATTCGAGTTGAGTACATTAAGAGAGGGAACTCATTATGGTCTGAAAAGCACGGTGGTGAAGGTGGAGCAGCACACGTGGTAAGTCCATTAAAATATCTCTTATACTCCATTTTTTAATATCACCATTGTTTTTTATTTTTATCTTGCTTATTGATGAACTTAGTAAAAATAAAAAATTCATCTACACCATGCACTACTTGCTCATTGATTAGCAAGAGACCATCTCCTTTTAAATCTACATCTATATCTATAACTGCATTACTATTAAAAGTGTAAGTTATTTTTTTATTTTTTTATACCATTTTAATCTAAAGAACAACCAAATTTATATATAAACATACATTAATGTTATATTTATTGTTTGAGAAGTCTATGTAATTGAATTTATTTTTAAGAACTCTATATCTTTCTCATAAAAACCGAATTTAATTATTATTAAGAACATTACGTCCTATAAAAAAATTAAAAATTTATCTCTAGGTTTTTTATATTTAATTTTAATCTTTCTTTAAATGAAAATTATATAGTTGTACACATAAGATCAATTATTTGGAAGCTTACGAATGGACAAATTTAAATTCCTTTTAGCCATTAATAATAATTAAAAAAAAAAAAAAATCATCAAAACTAAATATGTTATTAATTGGATTGACCTTGTACCAAACAATACCCTGTTTGGTTATCATTTGTTTTTTGACATTTTGTTTTAACAGGAAACATAACAAGTGTTTTATTTTGAATAGTAATCGAAATATGTTTAGTAACGTCCATTTATTGCAAGATTTTTGAAAGAAGAAATATGAATACATGTTTAGTAAAAAAAAAAAGTTTAAAAAATGAGTAATGATTCTTGCATAGATCATTAAGGCAGAATTGTTAGGCCTATTATATTTGATTGGTCAATGCATGCCAAATATAAAAAATCCTACCCTCCACTTTCTTATCTATGTATTAATGACCAATTATATATGGTAGACCTTACAATTTTGCCTAAGGTTCATCATGTGCCATGAGAGGATCCAAATTCCTTAATACAACCACTTATATTTATTCAATTAAGACGTTTACCCTTCCTTCTTAATTGAAATCTTACCGATAAAGCTAGACTATCCTACGGAGTATCTCGTTTCAATATCAGGATATTATGGAGACTTTTTGGGTTACCATGTCATACAATCTCTTACACTCAAGAGCAATAAAAGACAATTTGGACCATATGGCATCGAAAAAGGAACTCATTTTGCATCCCCATCCATTAATGGCAAGATCATTGGATTCTGTGGAAGAAGTGGTATTCTTCTGGATGCAATTGGAGCATATTTTGAACCAAAGGCTAGTTAGGATTTGTGGCTTATATTTCTAATTTAACATTTTTTTTAGTTGTATTTTAGTAGATAATTTGAAGTGTGGAACTTGCTCTACCATTAGAGCTGGCCCTGAGATTTCAAATATTTTGAGAGGCCCTAGGCAAACTTTCAGATATGAGGCCCTTAAGTTTCACACGCGCAAAAAAAAAAAATACAGGAGAGCGGAATTTTTACACGATGTTTTCAAATTCTATAGCTAATTTAATTGTGCGCATGTGTATTGTGCATAAGACAACTAACTAATAACTATAATCTTCTTTCATTAAATCTTCATGTTCATTGACTAACTTCCTATGATCTTCATTCATTAAATCTTCATGTTTATTGAGATTTTCTTCATTTGCTTTCGCATTCATATGTTCTTCATTCACCAAATCTTCAATTAAACTCTCTATTTGAGTATTGCTCCTAAAAAACTTAAGATTATCTCCTTTTTGACATTAAATCAATTCTTCTTCTCTCTTCTTCTTTTTTTCCTTTTTTCATGCCCAGATTCAAATTTTCTTGTAGACATAATCAAATCTCTTAAAATCTAAATAAAAGGAACCATAATCAACATAAAACTAGACTTCAAAAAAATAATAATAATAATTTGGTTTGTTTAAAGAAAATATAGATTACCTCAATATGCAATGATTTGATTCAAGTTCAAGGCAAATAACCTCACGAGATCCTAAGAAGAGTGTCCTGCTAGCATGTGAAAGAAGATCACAATTAACATAAAACGGATGGAGAAACAAACAGAAACAATAATAACTAAGCATTGCCGATCGTATAATAAATATAATTAAAAAAAAAAAAATCTCAAATCAAGCAGTTTGGTCGAATGATCTCCTGGCTGGAGTTTTCACTGGAATCTGGAGGAGAGGAGAGAAGACAAAACAGAGTATCCAAAATACAGTCCAAAAGTGGAAATGAGGAACAGAAAACTGCAGCTTCTTTTTTAAATTCATTGTTTATATAGCTGCTAAAATTTGATGACTACAGTTGACAAAAATATGTGGAGATGAGGTGACTATATATATATAGGAGGCTGAACTTGTAGTGCTGAAGAAGTAGTGGGAATTTTAGGTTATACGTGGCATCCACTATCATATATAGTTTTGTCTTTCACTCTTTATATTAACTACACTTTATGTGTGTGTTTTTTGGGAGCGAATTACCCCTTTCTTGATTTCAGGATGAGGAATCAACTTTAGTAGCAGTGATTGATTGATCATTGCTACAGAAGACCTGTGCAAATTAATAGAAAAAACCATTAACTTTTGTTTTGTTAAAGCGTGCTATTGATTTCCATGTGTTTGTACATTCTGATGGCAAGTGCTTTGACAGTATTATTAACTGAAATTCTAGCTGAGCCAACTTCAAATAACATCAATAATGGTGGTATGTATCTTCATATAAAAATAAAATATAAAAAAAACCCTTAATTTGGCACTTTTAAGTATGAGCATAATTTAGAGATCGAAAAAGTTAATTATTACGGCTCAACCCAGAAGGGATCCTTAATTTTCGTAGGATTGAATGTGAAAATGCAAAAACTTATGAGGAAAAGGGGTATGATTGCTGCTATTGTGAGATTGGAGTGGAATTAGGGAGAGGAAAAAAAAAAAAAAAAAAAAAAAAAAAAAAAAAAAGTGCCTGCCATAGATTATGGACTCGATCGCCATGAAAGACACATGTAGAAAGGCACACATTTATTAAAATACTAAGAGAACCATAATATATTCATTCAGCTTTTGATAGCCATCACACACAGTGACACACACACACAAAAAACCCTAGTTTGGAAGCTACTTTTCACTATTGGAACAAAGGTAAAGGCCCGAATCAAACGAACCAAAGTTAGAACAAATCAAATGATGAGATGAACGAAAGAAAGAAACATATATAAAAGATCGATTCATGCAAAAGGAGAGAGAAGAGAGAAAGAGGACGAACATACCTTGTCACCTGAGGCGATAGCGGAGGCTGCGTCCTGCGCAGTGTCGAAGCAGATTGTGCCGTCTGAAACTTGCCCTAACTTAGTACTCCCTTTTAACTTCCCTTTTTCATCCCCTATGGGCCTCAAAATTTTGATGCCCAAGGCGACCAAGACTTGTCCTAACTTTATTTTATTTTTTTTCATCCTCTATGGGCCTTAAAATTTTGAGGCCCTCTAAAATTTGAGGCCCAAGGCAGGCCATGGCCGGCCCTGTCTCCCATGGCCGTTTTCATCTGTTGCGTGGAATTTCCACCTCTTTTGTTCCTCCTGCTAGGTTGGGCTTCGATTGGGCCTATGGCGTAGGGTTGTGCTCTTGTATACTTTTGTTGGCCTTTCCCTTTTTGGGCTGTAAATAAATATATATACTATCTTTAACATTAAAAAAAAAAAAAAAAAAAAAAAAAGGAATTATAATTTTTATCAAACAAGGAATTATAATTGGAACTCTTTAAATAGATACCGGAGTTAAGAGGTAGAGGTGAGTTAAAGGTCAGGTAGAGTGAAAAATCATTTCAAAATTTTGTATACATATCCCGGTGTTTAAATTTATCTACCGTTGTAATATTTTTACGTTAACATTGTGAATCTCCTCTCATACGTGTAATCCAAATTTGACTACACCACGTATAATATCTTGTGTTTTTTGTTCTGCAATTGAGTTGTTTGCTTTCAATACTAATCCCCTAACAATCAATAATTAATCCCACCCTGTTACCCCCAAAAGAAAGAGAAAAACTTTATTGCCCTCGTTATATTAGTGACATGTATTATTACTAACTTATTTGATAGTGACATATAATGATAAGACTCACAAAAGTTACTAACGTGAGAGGATAATAGGATTCACAAGCGCATATAACGTTTCTCCCAAAAGAGAAAGATTATATTAAGATAATGGGATTCAATTGCAGGAAGGCCTTGAGAGCTTGACTTCATTCTAAAAACCTTCCCAAATTTGGACTTGATCCCCATTTTATAATAGTATTGTAATCAATAATTAACAATGCAGTTATGTGGATTCACTGTGTGGTCCTTAAAGTCTGAAAAGTGGCTATCTAGTGGCCGGTCGTTTTAATGATCTAACTAAAGAAATGTTCTTTTTCTTTTTCTTTTTTTCTTTTTTTATAATTATTTTTTACCATTTGAATGGTACCACAAACAAACACTCATTTTTGTCCTTGGATGAAGATGCTCTCCAGCTCGAAAAGGAAAGGTCATGCACACCCATTAATTATTGAATTGAATTCTCCCATTAACAAACACTCATTTTTATCAATGGTCGGTAGGTGTGTAGGACCTCTTCTTTCCTGGAGAGGATCCTTATCCTTTGTCATTTCCCGTGTTCAAACACTCAACCCCTGAGAAGGGAGAGTTTATACCATATAGACTAAATAACTATTCTTGAGAGGCCCGGAGAACTATTTTTGTGGGCATGTGTAAAAATTTGAACCATCGCTGTAGTTGTAGTTAAGTCACACATAATGGAGTGAGAGGGAGAGTGGAAAAGTGGCAAAATCTAAGTACGGAGTGAAAACTGTAGCAAAACACGTGAAGTGAAAGCGCGCGAAGCGTAAGAACTACACCTTTTACATTATGAATTGTATAACTGATTTCAAATTAAACATTCTAACACATTATGTAGTTTTTTGAAATACTAAAGGCCGTATGGCCTAGCAGGGGCGGAGGGAGGGGGGCAAAAAATTCAGCCAAATCAGCCCTCAAATTAGGGCACCATGCACAACCAAAATTTCCCTCCACCCTTCCCTCTTGCCCTAACCCTCTGTTCTTTACCTTCTCCTGAATCTCCATTCTCCTCCACCTTTAGGCTTCATACAAACTGACAATCTGTTGGAACACCACTTTGCTGAGGATGCAAATTGCCCGGGGTGAAAACTGAAGCAAAACACGTGAAGTGAAAGCGCGCGAAGTGTAAGAACTATACCCTTTACATTATGAATTGTATAACTGATTTCAAATTAAACATTCTAACACATTAGGTAGTTTTTGAAATACTAAAGGTCGTATGACCCAGCAGGGGCGGAGGGAGGGCCCCCCCCCCAAACAAAAACATTCAGCCGAATCAGCCCTCAAATTAGGGCACCGCGCACAAACAAAATTTCCCTCCGCCCTTCCCTCTTGCCCTAACCCTCTGTTCTTCACCTTCTCCCGAATCTCCATTCTCCTCCACCTTCAGGCTTCACACAAACTGACAATCTGTTGGACCACCACTTTGCTGAGGATGCAAATTGCAATCTAGGACATGGTCTGGGACTCTGGAAGACTATCGAAAAGGTCTTTTTTTTTTTTTTTTTTTTTTGCGATTTGCCATTGTTGTTATATTTCTTCATGATGAATGAAGTTGATTATTTGAAATTTTGCTTTATTTCTCCTTTTGATGGAATTCTTTTCCAATTTTTATTCTGAAATTCAACATCTGAGCTTTAAATGTGAGCTATGTCTGGTCTGATTTTTATTTTTTTATGTGGTTTTCCAGTGAGAGAGAGTTATACATTTGAGGGGAATTGAACTACAAATAAAAAACATGATGATCTCTTTTATATGAACAGAGAAGTATGGTCTTTTTGTCAACAACAAATTCTTGCCTGAACTATTTAATATATTATATATATATATATATCTTGATTCCATTCCATGTCTTTGATGCACAAATTAGAAACAGCTTTTTATGTTAAAGGACTTGAAGTTTACATTATTCATGAATGCACGCTACCCTGTTTCAGGCCTTGCTTTTTTTTTTTTTTTTTTTTCGGAAAGTGCTTCAGGCTGTTTTTGTTTATATATCAATTATGCATATCATATGTTTAACCCTCAGAAGTTAGAACTGATGCAATATATAGTTATATACTTACACCGTGTCATATACCAGTATTAGTTATAAACACAGATAAAACTCAAAATCTTTTGAAGTCATTATTTATTAAATAAAAACCAACATGGTGTAAATACCATGTTTTTTTACAATCTTCCAAAAAAAATTTAGGAATAATTTGTTGTTCATGTTGGTTTTGATTAGTGAAGTTAATGAGGATATAGCATTTTTACTTGATAAATGCGAGCTATATCTTTGTTCCACAATGTTGCACACTCCGGCCCCCCCCCCTTACATTGAATCCTGGCTCCGCCCCTGCCTAGTGATATCTCATTTACCTCCAAAGTGAAAAGATGAGGTTTCGAGTCCCCATAGGACCAAACGGGGTTAGTTTCTTGCTAATAAAATATATATATAAATTTTTTAAATTGATATTACCCTCTCAAAAGGTATGAATTATCTTTACGTTATTGTTCATTCCAGAGGAAAAGCAAGTAAAATGACATTTAGGGGGAAAAAAGTAAGTAAAATGACATCTAATTATTCATTACCGGCATGTGTAATACAAGCACGAGCATGTGTATTATAGAAATGGTGCGGATGCGACCGTTGCACGGTGTAACGGGTACAAAAAAGTTTTTCTCCTTCCTAAATGGTACAATATTGCCAAACACAAAAAAGTATCAGCATTGTTCTTAAGTTGCTTGCTTAGGCTCGCTTGGACAAATTCATAATTTTTTTAGTACAATGTGACAAATTTTTAATTCTAGAGCATTGGATTCTATTTGGTTTGCATGTTTGTTGTTTGATAAAATTGAAAATTTTAAGTGCTGAAATTTTTAAGTGGTATTTAAAAATTAACATTTTTAATATTTTTGGATTCAGCCTTCAGTAATGATGTCTCTCTGGCTTAAAATTCTACCCCATTTTAAATGACACTTATGATATTTAAAATAGCATTTATCAGTTTCAATGATACAAATTGGGTTATCAAACTTAAAATTTTACCCCATTTTAAATGGCACCTATGAGTTTCAATTGAAGAAGTGCTTAATCCATCAAGAATTACGTGATCAACTAGCAACAAATTTCTTTTCCTCCCTAATTTTTTTTTTTTTTATAATAACCAAAGAAACAGATAATTTAGATAATGCCACATGGAAAGACATCATCAATTTTGAAAACTAAAGAATACTCCGATTATAGAACAGTAAAGTACATAATAGAAGCACAAAAGTATTGAACCTAAAGAGCGATTATAGAACATATAGTTGTATTAATGTTAATACAAGCAGGAAAACTGCAGCAATGTTGGAAGCCGTTCTCCATGGAATGCTGAAATAATCACGGTTTAATATTGCCTTCCAATTGTGATCCTTCCAATATGCATTTAATTTTTTCACTAATACAATAAAAATAATAGTTCTCACCCCATATAATAACTTCCTTGGAAAGATTATTAAAGAGACCTGTCACTGCAGAGCTATCGCCTAAGAAGTTGTCAAGAATTCCATTCTGGACAAGTAAATCCACATCTTTACCAGTGTCAAATGGATAGTGAATTTGCTCGAATACCACGAGGTTTCTAAGTAGAGAATCTGTCGCGTCAAAAACGATCAAGTGAGGGATTTCCAGCACTCCCATGGCATATGTTATGTCAAGCAAGCGATTGCTTGACCCGTTCTTAAACTTCATTACCGCCTCATTCAGCTCTGTTGCATTGTGTATCAGCACATATCTGACCATAACCGGAGGCAATAACCTTAGAGATGATGGTAAGTGACATAACCTCTGCAAATCAACAAAATGTTTTACCTCAGAACTTGGAAATGACGGTTTGATGTTTCCGACAATAGCAGAATCTACGAAGTACCAAATGGAAAGCATGAGGAAGGAACGGGGTCTCTCACTGAGAGGGAAGGCTAGGTTAAAGAGGCCCTCGAGAACAAAGAAAGGAAGCTGATTTTCAAGTATGATCATGTCTTTGCACACATCATTCACCCGAAATTTTCCAATTTAAGTAGTCGGATCGGTTAGATGAAAAATTACACCTCCAAATGGCCTCAATGATGAAACTGCCATCCAAAAGAATCATTTTCGCAAATTCGTCACTTCTAAGCATAATTCTTTCTTCATTATAACTCCAGGATCTCTCTTCCCACTCCTTCACCAGTCTTATACAATTATTTAAAATCATGCCAGTACGATTTAAGAACGATTGCAAGTATCTCAATTTATGTTCTTCCATGGCTTGCAAGTGTTCTTTGCCACGATGAAATGGGCCGATGGAAACCACCTGAGGTGTGAAGCGCTTTCATTCATTTCACGGAGTCTCTTGGGTACTCTATAAATACTACCATCATTGGACAGACTAGGCAGCCCATCTGTCATTTCTCTAATGGAATTTAACAATGGAATTTCATCAGAATCTTGATGAATATGATCATCAGTTTTTGAAACATTGTCTTCTCTCTCATTCCCATCAGTGTTGTCCATTCTTTACATGGTTGTGTTTTCCTAGTGCATGCATTACAACAGCAATAAAGACAAATTAGGTGCAGTATTGTTGCTTTTTGTCTATCTATCTATCTATATATATATGTATATGCTTCTTTTCGTGGTGGATCAATGCATGGAGAAAAAGATTTTGTAACAAATATTTCGATATGTCTTTTCTCTTTCTTCCTCAATCTAGTTTGTTCTACACTTTTTTGTCTTCTGTATTTATTTTTCTTTTGGCTTGATTATAATAAGTATAGTGGCTACAAATCATGCATCATGAGACACTAATTATTCAATAATATATACATCTTCAAGTAAGGAAATCTACTTTTTATGTTTCTCCATCAGATAGCTAGTCATATTAGGTATTTTCTTAAAGATTGCAGAGCTGAAAATTTTTGCTTCTTATGGTATATATAAGAACATCAATTTCTACGTTTTTTCCCTTTTTGAAATGATTAATTTTATTTTCTGAATATTGTTTTCTGTTACTTATTAGAGAAAACAATACGAAAAATTCATTTAGTTAGCAATTTTTTTTTTCTAAAATAATATCTTTTGCTCAAATTCTCCTAGTTCTTGAAAACTGGTTTTATATAACAGTCAGCGCTTACCCATCTGAGGAGATAGTAAATCTTAAACTTTTCGAATATATATATAATAATAATAATAAAATGAAAAAAAAATTAAAAGAAATAAACATATCAAGCAATTAAAGGGAAATGAATGAAAAGAGAAATGGATAGTGAAAGTTGTGCAAACCCTCAAACCTTGAGTATGTTTGTGGACTTCATCCAGTCATCTTCACAAAATTATTATAACCGCGTAGACTTCACTTTTTAAGTACCCTCTGTGGATGCATAGCCAGTCAAACCAAGTAAAATAAAATTATAAAATAGTCAATAAAAAGAGCTCATTAATCCTTCAACCATATCTTAATAAGCATATGTTTATAGCAAATTTAATCACATTGATTTCACCTTTGGAGGACCTCTCAAGAAGATGTCCATGCCATACCCTCTATGTATGAATAACAATCATATATAATACTAAAAAGAGCCTCTTTATTCTAAAAAAAATTATTCTAAGCAATGTATATTCCAACTTTATTAAATAAAGTGAGTGAGGTGTCTTTATTCTTAAAAATTATTTTAAGCAATGTATATTCGCACTTTATTAAATAAAGTGAGTGAAATGTCTTTATTCCATCTTAATTACTTCAAATTTCTCCATTTAGCACCAAATGGAGAGTAAAGAAAAATATATATATGCACTTACTGTTTCTTCAATACTCTTTGAATTACACCAGAAAAATAGAACGATGGAAAAAATGGACACAGGAAGCCGTGGCATTCCATCGAAAATTTAGATTAAGGAATTGATGGAGAACCTGCTTCCTATATCACCTGAATGTTGTATCTATAGAGTTCCCAAGAGACTTCGCGTATTAAAAGAGAGAACTTACACACCTCAGGCAGTTTCTATTGGCCCACTTCATCATGGCAAAGAAAACTTACAAGCTATGGAAGAGCACAAGTTGAGATACTTGCAGTCATTCCTAAATCATGTTGGGATGAGTTTGGATAGCTGTATGGGAGAGACAAAGAAATGGGAGCAGAGAGTTCACGATTATTATGCAGAAAGAATTGAGCTTAACAGTGATAAATTTGTGGAAATGCTGCTTTTGGATGGCAGTTTTATCACCGAGTGATTACTTAAATAGGCCACATATGATAATTGCAGTGCGTACAGACCTGATCTTACTTGGAAAGCAGCTTCCTTTTTTAGTTCTTGAGAATTTGTTCAACCTAATTCACAACTCTGATTCAAACCCCCCACATTCCTTCCTTAGGCTATCTATCAAATACTTCAAAAATATTTCGTTGACCAGTAACACCCAACAGTCAATCTCAACACCAGCTGAAGCAAAGCATGTCCTTGATTTGCTAAGAAAATGTCACTTACCATCATCTACAAAGTCACCGCCCATAGGTGGTGTCAAATTTGTGACAATACGCAATGCGACAGAGCTCAAGGAGGCAGGAATGAAATTTAACAACGGCTTAAGCAAACACTTACTTGTCACACAATACACTATGGGATCTCTGGAAATTCCCCCCTTCAGCATAAACGACTCAACAGAGTCTCTACCAAGAAACCTCATTGCTCTCAAGCACTGTCATTATACACTTGACAGTTACATAATGGATTATAGACACTGCTAAAGATGCAGATTTACTTATACAGGGGAATTATTCAGAACTTCCTAGGCGATAGCTCTTAAGTGGCGGGACTCTTTAACAATCTCACCTCAGAATGTTATGGTGGTCTGAGAACTATTTTTTCCATGATACATGTGAAAAACTAAATGCATATTTCAAGGTTACTTGGCACAAGTGGAAGGCGATACTGAAGCATGATTATTTCAGTACTCCATGGAGAACAGCTTCAACTGTTGCTGCAATTATCCTGCTTGTACTTACCATACAAACCATTTGTTCTATCATCTCCCTCTAGTTTCAGGACTTTGCATTGTGTTGTAATGATTTTCTTATAACAGATTCTACAGTTTTTTTAAAAAATTCATATTATCTTGCTTTGCTGGTATTGGCTAAATTCTAACCACTCCCAATTATGTCTCTAAAATCAAATCAAAAACTAAGGTAACCCCCATAATCTTCATTTACACGCATCAGATATGTCTTCTCCCTATGAGGTATTTGAGAGTTCCCCTAGTTTCTACCAGACTCAAAGCTGTTGATTGCAGGTTGTTTACAAGGCAAAATTGCAGGAAAAATTAGAGATTGGACAAACAAATCTCTCCTCTTTGCAGGTCATCACAACACTCAAATGTACTGGAGCTCCAAATTCATCTTGCCTAAAAGCACCATAACAGAACTGACAAGTATTTTAGAGGTTTCCTTTGGTGAGGTCCAACCGTCCAAAGCTGGAGAAAAAGAGTGCCAAGGTTGCTTGGGCAACAGTTTGTTTGCCCGGAAATGCTGGTGGTCTAGGGATTCCTAATCTACGTACATGGAATGAGTGTTCAGTTCTGAAACACCTATGCAATATTCTTACTAGAAAAGACAATATGCTTTGAATTCAGTGGATAAACACATATCTTCTTAGAGGTAGAAGCACATGGGAAGAGAACATACCTGGTCAGTGTTCTTGGAGCTGGAGGAAGCTGCTTCAACTCAGGCCTGCCATTCGCGCTCTTGTCAAGCTAGAAATTGGGAATTGTGTTAAGACTAATGTCTGGTTTGACAGCCGGTCCTCTCTTGGCCCTCTATCCTGCAGCAAAACCACTCTCAGCACCTTCATTGATGATGATTCATCATGGTCATTTACTTCATCAATCCTTAGAATTCCTCCCTCAGCTTGGCAACCCATCCACCCTCCCATCCCCATGCTCCAACACAACTCATAGAATTAAATGGATTCCATCTCCTTCTCGATATTTCTCCACAGGCCACGCTCTTAAAGCAATTGGTGACAAACATCCATCCATCCCGAAACACAATTTTATTCTACCGTTGGCCATTCACAACAGGCTCTCCACCCTTAGACCTTAAGTCCATGAGTAGTCATAGGCATCTTGCTGAGCATGCTCTGAATCCGATGACCACTTGTGCTTCAAATGTTCATTTGGTCATTTATTCAGACACCATGTGCCCTTTTACATCTTGCCATCCTCATGGACGGAATTAATATCGGCATTGGAGAAGCAAATCAGCAAACTATATAGCTATTGTATGCAAGCACTCCGTAGCTGCTGTTGCGTACAATATTTGGATTGCGACAAATAGGCGACTCTACCAAGGCAAAGCTCTCTCGTCTCCGATGAAACTGCAGAGAACCCTTTGTCTTCCTCCTTCATTGGCTAGCCGATTGCGAGGCGCATTGCCTGAACTGATTGATCGGAATGCAGGGCAAGTCCTTGCACGTTGCAGCCTCTCCGGCTGATTGAGAGACCTTGTAACTGTCGTGTCTGAATTTTGGTTTCCTTCTAGTTATGGTTTGGCCCTTGCCCTATTGTTTTGTAAATGCTCTTGGGCCTGGTGTAATCTCAAAGTAAAATTGTTACATCTCGATTTAATTGAATTTTTAATGTAATATGTTTCATTCTCAATTTAAAATGTACAAGATAGTCCATTACACAAGAAATGTTTTTTTTTTGGTTAAAAAAATAAAATTGTGGAGTTGACTCCATAGCGAGTGTCACTACACAAGAAAAGTTCTTCCTTATTTATTTATTTATTTATTTTTTTTTTACCATCATTATCACTAAAGTCACTATCACTCGTTTGTTTCGAAGTAAAATATTTTTTTTTAGGAAATATATTATTTTATATTTACTTTGTCAGTGTTTGGCAAAGGTATATGTCGAGGTTGAAGTTGAGTCCATCAGGCGGGGCATATAAAATAACTTGTCAAAAATTTATAAATAAATTATTTTTGTTAAATTTTAATATTTTTTTTCTTCGTAAATATTTTACAACAATCAAAAACCAGAAAATAAAAAAATATTTTTTAAAAAATATTTTACGTCCAAACAAACGGAGCCTAAATGTGAAATTGTTTCAAACTCAGGTAAAAATTGAATGACTCCATATAGGATTAACATGTAGGTCCAATTGTCCTTCCAAATAGCTCAAATACACCAACTTTGCACATAAAGAGATTTGTATTAATCCGGTTGGTATTATACGTTCATTCTCAAAATAAAATTGAGGAGTTGACTCCATAGTGAGTGTTTATGGGTGTGTGACTAGGGCTGCAACTCAGGCGAGTTGGGTAGGTTTGGAGTTGGGTGGGTTTGAGGTATTACTTAAGCCCAACCTACCATATGAAATACTAAACCCAAGCCCAACCAAACCCTATCCTCAATACTAACTACTCAACCAGAGCCCAACTCATCTTTCTATTTTTAAATTCGGGCTTAGATTTTGTGGTAAAACTTCGAGTTAATTCGGATTACTCATGTGACTAATATTCACACTAAAAATTTAATATGATCTTCAATTAATTTTAGATTAAATTACTCTTAAAAAAGAAAAAGTTCAAAAACTTTTTGTAAATTTTTAATAAATTACAAACAAATTCTTAGAAAATTAAGTATCCTAAATGTTAACATACAATAAGTTAAGATTTAACAAAAGAAGTTGAAAAGAAAAAAGGTAATCACAGTTTAAATATTATATATAATGTATTTTAAAATAAATATATATATGAAATAATTTTATAATTTGGGTTCGAGTTAGCTCGGGTTGTTAACACCTTAATTCAATTCGGGTTAAGATTTTTCAACCTAAGCCCAACCCTAATTGTAAAAATGATTGTTCAAGGCAGCAAAAAATCGGGCTGAACTCGAGTTAGGTTCAGGTTTCCCAACCCAAGTTGTACCCCTACATATGACTAACTCAAAGATTAAAAAAATATAAATAAATAAATAAAATAAATCATCTTGATTAATAGGCTTAGTTTTATGTTGATTCGAAAAGTGAAGAGTTAGAGCACCATAGTGAGTGTTTATGAGTTTGCTTAGCGGTGGACAAATAATATGTGCATTCGATCCGATCCCTGCAAATCGGATCGAATTGTTATACCTACAGATCGGTGGTGGATTCAAAAAAATTGAATCCGTATCTTACGGATCTGATCACGAATTGAGCTATTAAAATTCGATCCGATATGTGAATTCAATTTGTGAGATTTATATATATATTCAAATAATGTATTAGTTAACTTAATTAGTTAATAATTATTTAATGAACTTTAAGAATGTATTAGTTAATGATTATGAATTAATATTAATAAATTGAAATTTTATCTATTTGGTTATGATTAAAAAATAAATAATATTGGACAATTTATGGAAAATCTCAATCCGCGAATCCGATCCAATCGTCATTCCATTAAGTGGGATAACGGTGGTGGATTAAGAATTTTTCAATTCATTAGGAGCGGATCGGATGAAGATCGATGCCTAATCAAATCTGTGACCACCTCTAGATTTGTGTGACTAACCCAACGATTAAAAAGTATATAAATAAATAAATAAAATAAACCATCTTGATTAATAGGCTTATTTTTATGTTGAGAATCATTTTTCTTATAGTATTAACCATAATAGGTAATAGGGGACCTAGAGAGCAACTATCAATGGCACTTCTTTGAAAGGGTGATTATGTAGTTTCTCTTATATATATATATATATATATAAAATTTAGAAATCTTAAAATTTAATTTTATACTAATACACCTAAAAATAAAATAAAGGGTAAAGTGTGAGAAACTCCCTCAAACTATTGTTAAATTAGCATAAAACCCCACTAAACTATAAACTGTGCAAAAAACTCTTGAACTACTCTATTTTGTTGCATATTACCCCTTCCGGTGGATTCCATTCATAACTAACCGTTAAACAATGACGTGGCACATAATATATAATTAAATAACCATAATGCCCTTATAAGAATGAAAATACTCTAATACCCCTTGTTGTCACCATTACACTTATATCTATTATTACACCCAAATACACCCTTATGATTGAAGGCCTTCTGTCTATGTACATATATAGTTAGGGTGAAGTGCAGAAAACACTTTTGAAGTATGTTTACAGTGCATATCACACCCCTCACGTGCAAAAAACGCCCCTCAATTTCAATTTGGTGCAATTAGGTCCCCATGACACATTTAAAATCTAAATTAACTAAATTACCATTATTGAATAATTTTATAAAATATATAAAAATAATTTTTTTTGTAAAAAAACCAAAAATTACAATGTTTTACCCTTCTCATCTATTTGGCAGACCGCCGCCTCCTCTTCCAACTCCCCACAAAAAAAAAAGAAAAAAAAAAGAAAGAAATAATACCAGTTACAGAGTAATTGTACTCCGATGAGGCGAAGAGGATGTTGTCGGCTTCGAGAATATTCTGCCGGAAATCCACCACCGCCGGCAGGAACCTTCCGTCCTTCTCAAGATCGGTGTTGAGCATCGGCAGCGGCGCTATGTCTATGTATTCGATCTGTAAACCGTTGATGGATTCTCTGGATAGCTTAATTGCTACAATCAACAACACTAAAGGATGATCAAAATCCAAATTCAACTCATATGAAACCATAAGAGACAAAAAGTTCACACACACACACACTCATATATATATATATATATATACACACATATACCCACACAAGAGCATAGGTAGGTAGAGACTAGAGAGAGAGGTACTATAGTGGAGGAGGCCTCGATTGAAGGAAGCTTTGCGAAATGATCCGTAGAGAGCTACGACTTTGATGATTGGCTTGGCCGCTACTGCTTCCATTTCTCTTTTTCTCTCTAGAATCTTTTCTCTTTCTCTCTCTAGAATCATTTATGCGGCAGCCTTTCAATCACCAAACAGTTCTCCGCTTCAATATATATTCTCCCTACTCATATTATTCTTACAAATCACGGGTTCATTTATGATTTATATGTAGTTATGCCAACCTTCTCGTTTTTAGAATTTAAGGTGTAGTGGTTATACATTTTTTTTTTGGGTAATTGAGTTTAGTGTTTCTACTGATTTGCCAAATCTCACACGTTGTGGCAAACCTCATGATTGCATTGAAGAAGATAATTGCATGGACATTTTTGGAAGAATAAAAGGGCAAAATAGGTATTACAGTAATAATTTCTGACGAAGGGATAATTTTGTACAATTTCAAAACATTAGAGGTGTTTATTGCATACTTTTTCAAATAAGGGGTAAAAGTGCTACGAAAAGTATACTTCAAGAGTGTTTTCTGCACTTCCCCCTATATAGTTATAAATTACTGTGATATATACTGTTCATTGATATTCTTCATGCTCTTGATATATATATATATATATATATATATATATATATATATATATATATATATATATATTCCTTCATTTGCTTGTGTCTGAACAATTAAAGAATTTCCACAAAAAAAAAAAAAATGTGTTTTCTGAAGAAGCAAAAATTGACGGTATCGGATTCGGCAACAACGATGTTGTAGCCACGTACTAGCATTCGTCATCACCCGTAATCGTGATCGTGATCGTCATCACTAAGCAACAAAAACTTAGTTGAGGGAGGTTTTTTGTAGTTACAGGGAGTTTTTTGCAATACCCCAATAATTCACGAGGTTTATTGCACTTTACCCTAAAAAAAAATGTTTCTATAACAAGTTAACAACCCAAATAATATTAGCTCATGCAGAGCTGGGTGCTCTGAATTTTCCTCCTAAATGGTACACTGTTGCCAAAACAGAAAAATATCAGTATTGTTCTTAAGTTGGTTGCTTAGGACTGTTTGGACAAATTCATAATTACTTAATTTTGAGTACAATGTGACAAATTTTTAATTCTAGAAAATTGGATTTTATTTGGTTTGCCTATTTGTCGTTTGTTAAAATATATTGAAATTCTTAATTAAGTGAAGAAATTTTTAAGTGGTAATTAAAAATTAAATATTTTTAAATATTTTTTTAAATTTTCAGTATTTAACCTTCTCTGTCACTTAAAATTTTACTTTATTTCAAGTTTCACTTATTACCTTCAATAATATTCAAATTATGTTTAACTAAAGTATTGAATTCTTTCAAAATTAAGTGCGAAATTAAATTATCAAACAACACCAAATTTCTTTTCCTCCCTATTGTTTTTGATAATAACCAAAGAAACAGATAATTTAGATAATTCCACCATGGAAAGACATCATCAATTTTGAAAACTACAGAAAATGTAAGACCTAGCTAGTAAAAAAATAGTACATAATAGAAGCACAAAAGTATTAAACCTAAAGATCAATTATAGAACATATGGTTTGTATTAGCGTTAGTACAAGCAGAATAATTGCAGCAATGGTGGAAGCCGTTCTCCATGGAGTGCTGAAGTAATCACGTTTTAATGTTGCCTTCCATTTGTGCCATGGATCCTTCCAATATTCATTCAATTCTTCACTAACACGATAAAAATAATACTTCTCATCCGATATTATAAAAACTTCCTTGGAAAGACTATTAAAGAGACCTGCCACTTCAGAGCTGTCGCCTAAGTTGTTGGCAAGAACTCCATTCTGGACAAGTAAATCCACATCTTTATTAGTGTCAATAAGGCTATCCATGAACAAAATATAATCAGTGATGTAAGTGTCACTTGGATAGTGAATTTGCTCCAGTGCCACCAGGTTTCTAAGTAAAGATTCTGTCACGTCAAAAACGCTCAACTGAGGGATTTCCAGCACTCCCATGGCATATGTTATGTCAAGCAAGCGATTGCTTGACCCGTTCTTAAACTTTATTCCCGCCTCATTCAGCTCTGTTGCATTGTGTATCGGCACATCTTTGACCATAGCCGGAGGCAATAATGGCCTTAGAGATGATGGTAAGTGACATAACCTCAGCAAATCAACAAAATGCTTTACCTCAGAACTTGGAAATGAGGGTTTGATGTTTCCAACAAAACCATAATTTACCAAGTACCAAATGGAAAGCATGAGGAAGGAATCGGGTCTCTCACTGAGAGGGAAGGCTAGGTTAAAGAGGCCCTCGAGAACAAAGAAAGGAAGCTGATTTTCGAGTATGATCATGTCTTTGCACACATCATTCACCTCCATTATCCTATTTAAGTAGTCGGTTTGTTTAGATTCTTCAGAAGAAAATTTGCTCCTCCAAATGACCTCAATGATGAAACAGCCATCCAGAAGTGTCATTTTCGCGAATTCATCACTGCTAAGCCTGATCATTTCTTCATAATAACTCCGGGCTCTCTCTTCCCACTCCTTCACCACTCTTATACAATTATTTAGGCTTATGCCAGTACGATTTAAGAACGATTGCAAGTATCTCAATTTATGTTCCTCCATTGCCTGTAATTGTTCTTTGCCACGGTGAAATGGACCTATGGAGAACACCTGAGGTGTGTAAGCCTTTTCATTCATTTCACGGAGTCTCTTGGGTACTCTATAAATACTACAACCATTGGACAGACTAGGCAGCCGAGCTGTCATTTCTCTGATGGAATTTAACAATGGAATGTCATCAGAATCTTGATGAATATGATCGTCAGTTTTTGAAACATTGTCTTCTCTCTCATTCCCATGGCTATCTCTTGTTGTGTTGTCGATTATTTCCATGGTTGTACGTGTTTTCCTAGTGCACGCATTAGAACAGCAATGAAGGCATATAAGTTGCAGTATTGTTGCATTTTATCTATCTATATATATCTATATATGTGCTGCTTTTCGTGGTGGATCGATGCATGGAGAAAAAGATTTATAACAAATATTTGGATATGTGTTTTTCTCTTTGTTTCTCAATCTAGTTTGTTAAACACTTTTTTATCTTCTTTATTTATTTTTCTTTTCGCTTGATTATAATTAAGCATAGTGGCTACAAATCACGCATCATGAGATACTAATTATTCTATTATATATGCATCTTCAAGTAAGGAAATCTATTTTTGGATGTTTCTCCGTCAGATAGCTAGTCATATTAGGTATTTTCTTAAGAAGATATTGCAGAGCTGAAAAATTGTGCTTCTTATGGTATATATAAGAAGGTATATATATATATATATAGAACATCAATTTCTATGCTTTTACCCTTTTTGTAATGATTGATTTTATTTTCTGAATATGGTTTTCTGTTACTTATTAGAGAAAACAATACAAAAAATTCATTTAGTTACCAAATTTTTTTTCTAAAATACATATTTTTCTTAAATTCTGTGAGATTCATAGTTCTTGAAAACTGGTTTTATATAATATCCCGTACTTGCCCATTAGAGAATTTAGAGGAGGAGCAGGAGGTAATAACTCTTAATTTTTTTCAAAAATTAATAATAATAAAATAAAAAATAAAACAAACAAACCTATCAAACAATTAAAAGGGAAATGAATAAGAAGAAAAATAGAGAGTGAAAGTTGAGCCCTCAAACCTTGAGTATGTTGATGGACTTCATCCAATCATCTTCACAATATTATTAGAATCGCATAGACTTTACTTTCTAAGTACCTCTGTGCATGCATAGAGAGACCAAGTGAAATAAAATTATAAAATAGTCAATAAAAAGAGCTCATTAATTCTTAAACACATATTTATAACAAATTTAATCACATTGATTTTACCTTTTGAGGACTTCTCAAGAAGATGTCCATGCCATACCCTCCATGTATGAGAAACAATCATATACAATAGTAGAAAGAGCCTCTTTATTCTTAAAAAATTATTCTAAGCAATGTATATGACAATGTCTTTATTTGAGTGGAGGTGGCTTTATTCTTAAAAATTATTCTAAGCAATCTATATGACAATGTCTTTATTTGAGTGGAGGTGGCTTTATTCTTAAAAATTATTAAATAAAGTGAGTGGAGGTGGCTTTATTCTTATGTATATTCCTACTTTATTAAATAAAGTGAGTGAAATGTCTTTATTCGATCTTAGATACTTGAAAATCAGCTACCCTTTTTCTTTTCTGTTTTTTTTTTTTTTGCTGAGTGGGTGTGTTCTTCATAATTTGTTCAACCTAATTCAAACCTCTGATTTCTTCCTTCTACTATCTATCAATTACTTTTAAAATGTATTGTTGATCATTCCCCAACTCAATCTTTTAAATTAAAGCCCACAATGTGCATATTCCATACTTGTCCATGGTAGTCAGAACCACTTCTCTTTTCCCCATCATGATCGTTCTGGGAAAATGGTTCATCCTAATCTCTTTTGTTATTACATCTAAATATCTAATCCTGTTTAGTTATGGAAATCAAGATGGCTTGCATGATTCGTGATTCCTGTGGCATGGTTGGGGATTATACACATTGTTGGTTTTGCAATAATATGCTCACAAAGTATATGATATAATGTCACAAAGAATTCCTATTTCTTAATCTTGGATATGGGTTTTGATGTTGCAGACTTAGTTTTATGGCAAAAAATGGAGAGAACTCAGAAGGGTTTTAAGCAGCAAGCAGTGACTTGGGTTTATGAAGTCAGTTTCACATTATATGGTATATTTAGCTACTATTTAAATGGCCTTTAAACATGTACATAACCTTCTCTGTGTTTCAAAGTATCTCAGAACCGAGCAAAATAGAGCTATGCATTCCCCTGCTGTGCTCTATCGCTGCTCAGAAGAATCCCATGAAGAGCCTTTACCTTCTGGGGGTATGAGAAGGCCTTCTTGAAGCTAGCAAAACTGGCGCACTTGTTAAAAGAAGTGGACTTGATTGATGGAAGGCTTGTTAAGGTTGCTGACTATTCACATTGATGATAATCTTGAACACAATATGGACATTTTTAAGTCGCTCGTGAGGGCCTTTCTTCGGTCTCCATCGATGCAGGCAACATTAAAGAAGGAATTGATGGTTCCATTGGCAAGTGCACGCTGCATTCCACCACCTCGCTTCAGCAAACCAAGCGAAAGGGAACCCATCACCGTAAATTCGCTCACAAAAGTGTGCAACTTTTTAAATATTTTACTCAGCAGAGGAGCCCGCAAGTTATGCAGCACCGGATATGGACAGGGGCACTTAAGGAGGTCCTGAACAGACTGAAATCCGAGATTGATTCTTTAAATAATTGACATCCAAGCAAAGGGACTAAGATGGATCAGCATATAGTCTCTAGCTGCCTAAAGTTCTTAGACACTGCTATTTTATATGACACCGACTCCACCTCATGGATGTGCCTTGCACCTGCAAAGGTTGGGGATTCACCTGCTTCCCATAAATGGGAAGACGTACTTGAGATGATCGATGACCTTACTAGATGCTTAACAAATGAAAAAGAGTTGCTTTTACATGTTACAAAGCTTGAGGTAATGAAAGAAGAGCTTTTTCAGATCAAGGATGTTCTCCTTGATAAAAAATCGGATACAAGGAGACTCGGCATCAAAGAAAGTTCAGTGCAGAAGAAAATATCAAAGACATTGGGTCATTCGTCTCAATGCTTGTGCACACTTCTATTGTATTATCTCTATGGTAGAGTGACAGATATTGAAGTAGAACTCCGTGGTGGGGTTTATGGGAGTGGTAGTGAGGATAAATTTTGCTTATATATGGGGAAGATTTTGACATCAGGTGTGGAGAAGATGGTATGGAGTGGGGTGAAACAGTTGGACAGGGCTCTGGAGTTGCAAGGCCATTTATGGTGTGTTGGGTCCGAGGACAGGTTGCTTAAATATAGAGGAAATATGTTCTTTTTACGTGGGATCAGTCTTTAACCTAAGGGCATCTCGGGTCTCACCAAAGGAGTTAAAAAGGGGTTTATGTGGTGATGCACTCACAAAGGATCATGGGAGTTTAGAACAGGCATATCTTCTATCAATGTTCACTAAGTAGCCCATTGAAGTTTAGCATGGAGAATATTCACGAATTGATTTCTTCTATTTTATTCATAGAGATCGAGTTGCATAAAACTTTGATGTTTGAAGCTATGATGCTATATAGATATGAGAGAACAGACGGCTTGTACAAAAGTGAGTATGAGGAGTACAATTGCAGCAATAACAGAAACAATAGCCCACGGCTTATTGAAATAGTCACGTTTCAAAGTTGCCTTCCACTTATGCCAAGGAGTCGTGCAATATGCATTCAGGTTATCACAAAGACTAAGGAAATAGAAATTGTGACCCAGGACAACCTCTTTGCAGATTTTGTTGAATAGTGTCGAAATATCCTCATTGCTGCCCAATCTACTGGTAATAATTTTATGGTGGATTAGTAACTCCACATCCTTGGGAGTGTTGATCATGCTATCCATGAGAGCCATGTACTGTATGATGTACTTATATGCATAGTGACATTGCTCAAAGGCAATGAGATTTCGGAACAAGATCTCTGTCAGGTCATCTATCTCGAGATGAGGAATTTCAATGACTCCATTAGCAAACTTAATGTCAAGTAAACATCTTCCTGTCCCAACCTTAAACTTAATTCCAGCATCGTGAAGACTTGATGCACTCGGAGAGAATCTATCCATCCGGCTACTTTTTTGCCATACTCTTGGTGACAAAGGCAGGTAGCAAAATCGTAAGAAATCAAGAAAATGCTTTACTTCAGTGCTGGAAATTGTGTTGGGAAATGTACCAATATTCAATAAATTCTTGAAGTGTTGATGGGTGAGATCAAGGATGGACGGGAATGTTTCTCCGTCAGAAACAAAGACTAGGGTGAGGAAACCCTCAAGAACAAAGAAAGGTAGCTGATTATCAAGCAATAACATATCGCGCCCTATATCATCTATCATGCAAGGTTTATGAAATATGCGATCACTCCCCTCTATAAATTGAGGAAAATAAGACCTCAAGAGAACCTCAACGATGAAACTGGCATCTACTAGTATCATTTTCACAAAGTCATCACTGCTTAGCTCAATGGCTTCTGCATAGCAGCGGCGCGCTCTTTCTTCCCACATCCTCACATCCCTAACAATATCTTCCAAGATCAATATTGTCCGGCTAAGAAAGCTCTGTAGGTACCTCAATTTATGCTCTTCCATAGCTTGCAAGCTTTTTTGACCATGGTGAAGAGGGCCAATTGATACTACCCGAGGAGTGTAGGCTTCTCCATTTACTTTTTGCAGTTTCTCTGGAACTTTGTAGATAGAACAGTCAGGTGACAGAGGAGCCACACCTTCTAACATTTCTCTTATGGAAGTCACAACTGGATCGTGTGGTGGTTTAATGGGAATCAATGCCTCGGCTTCTCTTACCATATCCAGATTTTCTGTATCAACATCTTCTATCTCGATTGAAACATCGGTTTGTCTCTCAATTTCCTGATTGACTTCCATCTTTTGAGTGCCTTTCCCTAGTGAAAAAACAGATGACAGCAGGAAACTTAGTACTACGTTAAAGATGGACTTGGAAATCTGCAAAACTTGTTCCAAAACCATTTAGTTTCCGTTATTTTGTTCGATTCTAAGCATGTGAATTGGTTGTATGTACAAAACCATACTAATGTATATATTCATTAATACTATTTTTTTTAATGTGCTAAAAAAACACTCCACATCCTTAATGTTAGGTTCAATTTCAATTTTATTGAAGATGAGATGTGATTTTAATGGGAATAAGTATGTAACAAAGACAAAAAAAAAAAAATTACTACACACGCAGAGAGGGAGATGGAACCTGTTTAGATTGTAGCTCTATAATTTGATCATATCCTTTCTTTCTTCTTTCCCCTCATCACTTCAGTTTAATTTTCTGTTTGTGTAGAAATGTTAAAGCGAGTTCAACTAAATTAGATCTCCAAGTTTTTCAGGTCAACGAATATTTTGGGCAATTCAAAGTGATTAATTTGGGAAGGTTCATATGTGTTTGCTAGAAAAGAATATTCAACTGAAAGTTCCTTTTCAATTTTTTTATTATTATGGTATAGTATTTATTTTTATTTTTTTGCTCTTTCTTTCTATTTACATGGGTGATGGTTGACTTTGTCTTATTGCAATCTCTATGCATGTGACCACCTCACTCACCAATATTCCAAAACAATTGTCACCGGTGTAGACAACATTTGGCCGGCGTCGGAAGACTGTGGCCAATGGTGGGGCAGGCCAATAGGCCGACCGCACACCAAAATTGTGGCCCCCGCATCACCCCCCACTTTTTTTTTTTTTTTTTTTTGAGAGAGAGAGAGATTACAAATAGATAGCAAAATCTTTTATCATTGTAATGTCTAAAGGACAAAACTTGTCTACTCACCGATGAGTAGGTTATTTCTACTTACAAGTGATACGGTCCAATCACAAATACACAAATAATTCCTAATTACAAAATTAAAAAAGTAATAAATAAATATAATAATATTTTTTGGAATTAAGTCAGTCACTTATGTGAACTTTTATTTATCACCTTTCTGATTTTATAATTATTTATTATTTGTGTATATTTATTATTGGACCACATTAGGTAACTAGTAAATAGGCAAATCCTCTTATCCAACCAAAGATATGGGCCAAGTCATTGGCCCAAGATAAATACACAAACCAAAGCCTTTTAAAATACAGGACCCAACACAATCTTCAGCCCACAATTTGTGTATTCCATTTACTTTTAGTATTTCTCCACATTTTTGTCCCCAAAAAGATCACAATTGCCAAACTGTCCATGTTAATCTCCTTTTGTTCCTAAATCTAATTCTGTTTAGTTATAGATTTCGAGCTGATCTTTATGGTCCATGATTTCTCTAATCACATGGATATGGGTAGACATAGCGATGTTCGTGTTAGAAGATGCCCACAAATTGTTCGATATAATGCCGCAAAGAATTGTTTGACATGCGCTTAAATTCTCATATGAGTTTTGCCGTTGCAAGCTTAGCTTCAGAGCAGAAATTGGAGAAGTAGATTAAAAGAATTGGAAAACAAACAGTAACTTGGGTACTGAATTGGGTTTTACATTATATGATAGATTTGGCTAAGCTTTAAATGGCCTTTAAACATGTGCATAACCTTCTCTATGTTTCAAAGTATCTCAGAACCAAGCAAAATAGAGCTATGCATTCGACTGTGATGCTGTTTCACTGCGCAGAGGAAACCCACGAAGAGCCTTTACCTTCTGAATGGTATGAGAAGGCCATCTTGAAGCTAACAAAACTGTCACACTTGTTAAAAGAAGTGGACTTGATTGACGGAACGCTTGTTAAGATTGCTGACCATTCCACCGTCATTGATGATAATCTTGAACACAATATGCACACTTTCAAGTCGCTCGCTAGGACATTTCTTGGGTCTGCATCGATGCAGCAAGCGTTAAAGAAGGATGTACAATGCATACCACCTCTTTGCTTCAGCAAACCAAGTGAAAGGGAACCCATCACCGTGAATTCGCTCACCAAAATATGCAACTTTTTAAATATTTCTGCTCAGCAGAGGAAGTCGGTGCGTTTCTCAATATGCCGGCAGGTTACGCAGCACCAGATATGGACAGGTGCACTCGAGGAGGTACTGAACAGATTAAAATCTGAGATTGATGCTTTGAATAATCACCATCCGAGCAAAGGGACTAAGATGGGTCAGCAAATAGTGTCTAGCTGTCTAAATTTTTTAGACACTGCTCTTTCCTGTGACACTGACTCCACCTCATGGATGCGTCTTGCGGCTGCAAAGGTTGTGGATTCACCTGCTTCCCATAAATGGGAAGATGTTCTTCAAATGACCATTGACCTTACTAAGTCCTTGCAAAATGAAAAGGAGTTGCTTTTACATGTCACAAAGCTTGAGGTCATGAAAGAAGGGCTTTTTCAGATCAAGGACGTTCTCATTGATAAAAACATCGGATACAAGGAGACTCGGTATCAAGAAAGTTTAGCGCAGAAGAAGCTGTCAAAGACATTGGGTCATTCGTCTCAATGCTTGTTCACGCTTCTATTGTATTATCTCTATGGCAGGGTGACAGATATTGAAGTAGAACTCCGTGGTGGGGTTTATGGAAGTGGTAGTGAGGATAAATTTTGCTTATATATGGGGAAGATTTTGACATCAGATGAGGAGAAGATGGTATGGAGTGGGGTGAAACAGTTGGACAGAGCTCTTGGTCTATTCAAGTTCATTTGGCAAACAGCAAAGATGAAAGGGGTTCTGGAGGTGCAAGGCCATTTATGGTGTGTTGGGTCCGAGGACAGGTTGCTTAAATATAAAGGAAATATGTTCTTTCTACATGGGATCAGTCTCTAACCTACGGCCATCTCTGATCTCACCAAAAGAGTTAAAAGGGCTGTATGTGTTGATGCATTCACAAGGGATCACAGCATGTGGCGATAAGTTCACTAAATAGCCCATTGATGTTTAGCATGAAGAATGCATTCAAAATTTGATCTCTTAACCATAGAAACCGATCTGATGCACTTATTTCTTTTGCGCATTGAGAACTGCATAAAGCTTTGAAGTTTGAAGCTACATAGATATAATGAAACACCAGCTTTTATGAAAATGAATACGAGTAGAATTGCAGCAATAAAAGAAACAACGGCCAGGGAGTCTTGACATAGTCATATTTCAAAGCTGCCTTCTTTTGCCAAGTAGTCCTGCAGTTTAAGTTGAGATTTTCAAAAAGTAAGGAAGTAAAAGTTGTGACAGAAACCTCTTTATGGATATGCTTAAATAGTGTCCAAACATCCTCATTGATGTCCATTGTACTTGTAGTCATTTTTTTTACTCCACATTCTCTGGAATGCTGATTATGCTATGAATGAATGAGAGCCATGTAGTTACTGTTTACTTAATTTAAGTAGCAACATAGCTCAAAATTTTTATATATTTATTTATTTTGGTAAGCAATCATGGCTCAATGATTTCTCCATTACAATTACTATCTATTTCTCCATTACATCCTCATCGCTGTCCATTGTACTTTTAGTCATTTTTATTTATTTCTTCCCCGTTCAATTTTTTTTAATTTTTTTTTGGAAAGGTAAGCTTGATTTTGCTCAAGAAGAATCTAAAGTTACCTCAATTTGTGCTCTTCTATGGCTTGCAGGCTTTTTCTTTACTGTGGCGGAGAGCATCAATAGATGTTACGCAAGGTATGCAAGTTGTTTCATATAATTTATGCAGTTTTCAGGAACTTTGTAGATAAACAGAACGGGAAGCTAAACTTTTGTTTGGATGATAAAAGAAGTTTCCAATTTTCAAGAACTCTACTAAAATTCTCATCGATTAAAAAACTCTCTCTGAAAACAAGCTTGTCTTCAACTCAATTTTTCAAAACAGTTTCTAGAATACCATCAACAAAAAAAAAAAAATTAATACTTTTTTTCTTTTTTCAGTTCTCTGAGAATATAAAACTGTTCTATGATATTTTTCTGGTCCTAAGCTTTCTAAAATTCCTCTTCTTCGGGATAAATAAATAAAAATGACATTCTTCTTATGATGGAAGTTACCACTGGTCCACTGGAATAAGTGGAAGTTCAACCTCAACCAAAGCTTGGTCTTCCCTTTCATGTTCTGATTTTCTTAATAGCATTATCTTTCAAATTTCTTGACTCACTGTATTGATATTTGTAAACATTTGCATTCTTGTTATGCTAGAAGGTAATAAAGAGTAAAGACATTCGTGCATAACTCAAAGCACATCTTAGATAAGCATAGTTTGAGTAGAAATAGTGCTATATATCACTATTCCAAAGGACTATTTTCCATAATTGACATCTATAGTTAAGGGTTTACCAACACACTAACATGATTTTAAATACTGCACGCGCGCGCGTCTGTGTATGGTGCATTGGTGCTTATTATATGAATATCATTTTAACAGTATATACTATGTACTATTGCAAAAAGAATTTAAATGCATAAATTCTCTCAGAGCTAAGTCCTTCACAAATTTTCTTGACCACCTGCCTTGTTGATGAACAAAACCAACGGCAGATAATGCATTATCATTTCTGTGTACAAAAAAGATGAAAGATAGAAGTGAAAGTGGAAAGATTGTCGTAGATATAATTGATGAGTGCCTCTGCATTTCATTTTCTTATTGCTTTATGATGAGCAAATGTTATTTCATGTAAGGTTTGAAGCATTCGATGGAATACTGCATTTGTCAACATCTAGCTAGAAGACAATCTTAGCCAACCCATGTCTTAACAGAATATGGCATTAAAAATTTTTCTGAAATTCTGTGTGTGTGTGTGTGTGTGTGTGTGTGTGAGAGAGAGAGAGAGAGATTCCTAGTACAGTAGAAAGAGACCATTCTACACTTATTGGTGACTTTTGGACCACTGCCAGAATAAACAACACTCTCTGCCAGCAATTTTGTAGTTCTTTTGGCAAAATTTAATCCCCTTGAATGAAATTGATGGGAGATAAGGAAGATCTAACCAGCAACATTAACATTATGATAGCTACATCTCTGTTGATTTATTTATGATGTGTCAAAATCAGAATGGCTAATTCATATTGATTTATTTATCTCTATTTTTGATGGATTAATCTGATTTATACTCAAACCATACCAATTTTAGTTGTCTGACTTAAATAGTATAAAAATGAGAATTTTTTAAAATCAGGGATTTTCTTTTTTGAGTTGACCTTTTTTTGTTCCTTATTGGCATATTGCATTTAATTGGTCAGGGCATACTAAGATTAATTAGTTTCTTGACCAATAATGTGTGTGTGTCGTGCATGTATTTTTTTATTTATTTATCATGTCCTGCTATATATCCTGTAAAATGTGAAGTTCAGGTGCAGGACAAGGTTGAACCAAAACATGTAGGCATCAGCTATGAATCTGTCAATGTGAAGCTCACTTCCCTTAAATGGCTGAAACCATTCTTCACATCCAAAGAACAATAATGGGACTGAAGGGAACTCCTAATTTTCTACCTGCTTGAAAATGGTTAGAGAGGTGATATATATATATACATAAATTTTTTTTTTTCTTCCTGTCTGGTATTAAGATCTGTGTGATATGTACCCACGCGGTGGGTCCTGGGCTATGGTCAGGCTTAAGGGAATAAGTATGGACCTTCCTAACACCAGTTGGTTTTAGGATAGATGGGTTCCCAGCTTAGTTACCAGACATGAAGAAAAAAAAAAAAAAAAAAAAAAGAATTATGTCAGACTAAGCAGTGAACTAAATGAAGCATTTTCTGTTTTTTCAATGCACTGAAAATTCTGTTTAGGGTAATTTTGAGTTATTAATTTCCTATACGGTATTCGTATATGTGTTTCCTACGGCTTGACACTTAAGCTTATAAAGGCGCAGATACTACATCTAAATGCTTAGGGTCTGCTTGGTTTGTAACTATGAAGACAGTTTTCTGAAAACAGGAAATTGTACAAAAAATAACTCAGTTTGGTTCAGTTTTATGAAAACTCATTCATAAAAATGCATGTTTTCAGAGAACTATAAAAGATTTCTGTTTGGTTTGTAATTCTGAAAATAGTCATCAAAAATTTAAAATTGTTTTCAGAGAACTATAAAAGACAGTTCTTCAAAAACAAACTTTTTTATAACTAAGTTTTCAGAAAATAATTTTTAAATAATTAAAGTAAGTAGAGTTTTTTTGTATAATTTTTTCATAAAACTATTCTTGGAGTTACAAACTTCCTTGAGCATTTCCAATGACCTCTCAAATTCAAAATTTAACATATGGATGAAAATAAGGAACTCCAATGAAGTTACAAATTTCCTTGAACATCTCCAATGGTCTTTCAAATGGGCTTTCAAACTCAAAATATAGCATGTGGATGAAAATAAGGCACTCCAATGGCTTTTCAAAAAATCTCTCATATTTTGAGATTCTCAAATGTATTCTCAAATATAGCAGCTCTCAAATGGTCTTTCAAACTCCAAATATAGCAAGTGGATGAAAATAGGCACCTCAATGGATTCTCTCAAAAAATTCACATTTTGAGATTGTCAAAAGTTACTAAAATGAAAATAAAACACTCGAACGAGCTCTCAAAATATATAATGATTATTGTGTCAAAAAATAACATTTTAGATGAAATGTATTATTAAAACAAATTGTAAAAATATAATATTTTAACATTATAACTTCTCTTAAAATATAAATTTACTATAAAAAAATAATATTTTGTATTGAAAATGCTTTTATTCTGCTTCTTTTTAGAAGGCCCTTGTGCATTTGAAATGTAGGACCAAGCGCAGCATTTATCAAGACAACTGCAATGAGAAGTGAGTTTGGAGGGCGCGTACAAAACACTAGTAGACAATTCAGATGCTTGAATGAGAACGTCAAATGTGGTGGGTCTATTTGGTGTGAAAATTGTGAAATTATATTGGGGTCAACTGGTCAACAGTGCCACCATGAAGGATCATCTAATTAGTGTACTGGCCGTAGGATCATTTCCTAATAGACGGTCATCATTTGTCCACGCTTCTTATCCACCAACCTTTGATTAACACATCCCCTTATGGCTCCTACGCTTCCACGCTCATTACTTTATCACCGTTGGATTGCAATTTATCGCACGGCTGTGTCAATCTCATCGACCTCCATATCTTTTAATCACCGCAACATTAATGTCCCGCTCTTTTTCTCTCTCCCTCAGAGAATATATCCCACTCTCTGAATTCTCTCTCTCTCCACTCTCTCTCGGTCTGTGTAGATCTGTGGTGCAGAAATGCAAGAACAACCCACGAGCTCCATTGCAACGAGCTCTTTACCTTCAAGCAGTGAAAGATCTTCCAGCTCTGCTCTCCATGCTGAACTCAAAGAAGGTCTGATTTTCTTGCTCATTCTGCTAAATTAAGAAATTTTTTAATATCTAGCTAAATATACCATTTTGCATAGCTCTTCTTTTATTAGTATGTAAGTCAGAGACTTGTAGTTCGATCATGTGGGTGTATTTATATATGCATGCTTGTAGCTTCTCAATGAATTTGAGAAATTCCCATCTGGGTTTTTGAAAATGCGAGATTTTCTCTTCTGGTGTCTGGACTTTCTCGGGAAAATTGCTTTGCGAGAGAGATCTCGAGTGTGACACTAGTATATATATTTCCTTAGGTCTCTTTACCAATGGACTTACTTTCTCTATGAAGGTATGGAGAGTGATGACGAGATCAGGAGAGTGCCGGAGATTGGCGGAGAGGCCGCCGGCGTGTCAGCATCAGGCCGAGGCGGCAGTTCGGTGGCCGGTCCGGGCCGGGTTCAGGGCTCAGCAGAGGGTCCAAGGAAGAGAGGGAGAAGCCCGGCTGACTTAGAAAACAAGCGGCTGAAGAGGTAAACCGGACCGGAATATTTTAGCTCTTATCAAATTACATCTTGCCACGTTGTCATCGGGGCCCACGCAAAATGGATGACTTTCTGACGTGGCGAGTGTTGGTGGGGTAGTGTTACCCACCACCCCATTCACCAAAATCGAAATGTGATTGGTGAGGTGTTTTTAGTCATTTTTGAGTGATCGGTGACATCATGGTAAATTTGTTCATTTGGAGGGCCAAATGTGAAACAGGCTGCTGAGGAACAGAGTGTCTGCCCAACAAGCAAGAGAGAGGAAGAAGGCATACTTGGGTGAGTTGGAATTGAGGGTTAAAGAGTTGGAGAAGAAGAACTCTGAGCTGGAGGAGAGGCTGTCCACTTTGCAAAATGAAAACCAGATGCTTCGACAAGTATTTCAAATCTCAACATACATCTATATACTATATATAAACAAATCAACATCATGACATGACATACATAAACAAATCAACATCATGACATGACATGACATGACGGAATATATGTTCTTTGAAGGGCACTTTGCGTATTTGAATCAAGCAAATCCTCACACACCCACAATATTGTCAATAGTATAACTGTAATACTCACTCGTTGCAAAAGAAGAGGAGAAGATTATACTATCAGTCTAGATGTCTTGTAATGTTCATGCATATGGACATTATTCAGTGGCCTAATTGATGATTCTGTCCCACATTTCTCTAATTTGTTCTTAAGGACATTTTGGGTATTTGACTTTCCATGCATGTTCATGAAAATCCTAGTGCTGTGGATTACCAAATTTGGACCTTCAATCTATTTAATTTGAGCATTCACTATGGTTAATTTTTGTCCACTCTCTTTATGACTTATTGGAACAATTTGCAGATATTGAAGAACACAACAGCTGGCATGCAGGAGGGGAAGAAGTAGATTTGGATGAGTTTTTTTTGTTGCCAGATAAAGCATTGGAAAAGGGTGAGTGACTGCTTCCTCTTCTTTTCTTTTCTTTTTTTCTACTTCTTCTTTTATTAATTTTTTTTATTTTTTCATTTTCCCTTTTTCTAACTCTACATGTATATGTTGAAGCTGAATTATGGGTGTTGGAATAATATTTTCATTACTTTTTTTTAACTAACGATTTTTATACTATTTTTTTAAAACACTTCAATTTTTTCAAGATATGACTGTAGTTAAATACTGTAATAACTTTCTTACAAATAAAATTTAATAAATAAGTTGAACTTGCATCCACTTTTAAGTGGACTTGGGAACGGTGATTACTTACAAGGGCAACAACCATATGCCTATTGACATTCATTCTCCTAAGCCCTAGAATCAGGATCCTCTCTAGTTTCTTTTTGGTCCTGCAAATGTTACCCGTGGTTACATTCTTAACGCAGCTACTTCTTTGAATCGACAATGTAATCATTACGAAAATGCGTTAAATTCTCTATTTAATGGTGTCAAAGTATTGTAACACCATATAATTTGTTGCTTGGGTGTTGCACAAGTGTTATATAAATTTGTTGCATAAGTGTTATATTGTTGAGTTTTATAACTCATGTTGCATTGAGATGAATTAGCGTACAAGTTGGCACGCACGCGATGGGATAGGAGAGGATCTAGGTCCTACTCCTAACCCCTCTGTACATATGAGGTGTCTCTACTATAATGTGTTCGGATCTAATGTGAAAAAAAGAAGTAAATTGATTCCAAACACACCCTAACTTTGTTGGTGACCTTCCATTTTATACATCTTCTATGTCTCTAGTAATCAAATTTATACCTATTGAGGGATACTATGGCGAGAGCCCTCTCATGATATGAATTATTTGTTCTCTCTTTATGATTATTTAATTAAGAATCTCAAAAACTATTTCAATTCAACATTAATTAAATACCAATGTAAGCTCTGGACACGTATCCTCCGGTCTGGTCCGCCCATAACTTCTTAATTAGCATATTATTTTGCAAGGATCGATTTTTGTCATGTTAGTTTAATTGTTTTTAGGGTAAATTACACAGACATCCCTGAGATTAGGTCATTTTTCAGTTAAATGAAGATTTTCGTTTTAACTTTTCACTTACACCCCAATTTACTTGTTGGCCTCAAACACATGCAAATTAACCCTTTTACCCCCAAAATTTTAATATAAAGTATCTTTAATCTTAAATGATATAAACGCCCCTCTACAATTTTGAATTTCATCTCTGCTGTCTCTCTCACCAACCCTTTCAACCACCACCACAATCCTTATCCCACAACCACCACAAACCACTGCTACAACGCAACCACCACAGACCGCCGCCACAACGCAACCACGCCGTACACTTCCCACATAACACTGCCACATTAAGCATGTGGCCTCTGGGTCAAAGAAGACGTCGCCACAACCACACACCGCAACACCCGCACGATGCCACACCGCCACCACCACAACCACACAACGTAGCCACATCAAACACGCCGCCTCTAGGTCACAGAAGACATCGCCACAACTGGTCGCACCCACACCCACACCACCACAACTATCATCACACCCACACACAAACCACCAGTGACAAGCTCGAATTCATAAGCATCGGAACGATCCCGTGCGACACCATCGCTGAGTTCTTCGACTCAATTGTCCCAATCTTGACTCGTATGGACTCCATCTTTGACGACGACCGAAGAACGGCGTCGTCGTGGAGGGATTTTGAGATAAAAAGAAAGAGAGAGCAAGTCGGAGAGGGCTGGGAGGTGAATCGAAGAGATCGGGTGAGTTGGGTCTTGAGATCAATATTTGTTGGGAGGCGAATCAGAGAGGGTTGGGAGGCTGGCAAGTTGAGTGTCGTCGCCTACACCTCTTTGACCTCGTCGGCTGAGTTGGTGTTGCCGCCGTTCCGGGCTCGCCCGACCATCGCCACCTCCAATCCATAACCCAAACCCCTTCATCGACCCGGCCGACCCCTGTTTGGTTATTTTGTATGTGCGTGTGTGTATGTATATAAGTGTGTGGTTGTTTTGTATGTGTGTGTGTGTGTGTGTGTGTATATATATATATATATATATATATCTCGAAAGTATTGTGTGGGATTGATGAGTGAATTGGGGATGATGATGGTCTAAGGAGGAGGAAGAAGAGGAAAGGTGTATGTTGGGGGTAGTTTGGTCACAAAAATAGTCAACAGGAGGTCAAAAGGTAGCATAGTCTTTTAACATTTCAAAAGTACTATGACCCTACAAAAAATTGACATTTGGGATGTAAGTGAAATATTAAACCACTAATTCAAATGTAATCGAAATTTAAAATTAAAATGCTAATCTAGCTGAAAAATAAACTAACATTAGGGCGTCTGAGTATAATTTATCCTTATTTTTATTATTATTTATTAATTGTGCTACCTCCTTAAACAAACTCCTCGCTATAGTAGTGATTAGTAAAGAGAATTCATGATTTTTGTGACTAGGTTTGATAACCTTACTCTTATATATGGTCATTAGTCTATAACCTATACATCTCATTTCATGAAAATAATAGATGAAAACCCCATATAAAATGACACCTGCATCATCCAATTGTACTTGGAAAATGAAATTCTAAGAGATTTAGAAGGCCAAAAGTTTAGACAAAAATGAAGGGAATGTGAAAAAAAAAAAAAAAAAAAGTTGATCACATCACGTGAATCGCAGGAGAATATAATGGCTCTATATATCTAGTCATCATATATATCATTGAAGTCATTATACTTTCTTTTCCCATACTAGACTTTACCGTCCAACCAAAGTAGGGCAAAATTGTCTTCTAATATTTTTTTTCTTCTTTTTTGTTTTGTTCTTTTTTCTTTTTCTTTTTTTTTTTTTTTTTCAGGCAATACGGACTGTTAGGCTTGCTTTAAACACGCTACAAAGATGGAGAGTAACCTTTGAAGTGGTTAAATACAAAGTCTAAAATTTGATATTCATGATTTAATTAAGATGGATTTAATTCGCCCAAATAAGTTTTTCCCACGCATGAAGGATGATTGATACGTGAAACCAAGCTAATCAAATACTTTTGTAAAATGTGCATCTTTGAACTACCTTTTATATATTTACTATTATTTTATTTTATTTGTGGTGTGTGTTGTTCTCCTATCAAATGAATGACATTGAGCAATTTTCATGGACACTCAAAAAAAAACTTTGATTTGGGTTTATGTGACTGAAGTTTTTAGCATTTATATGTGAACATAGTTAATTAAGTAGATGCATTTTGAGAAATATTAGGAACATTTGTAGTAAAGTATGCAAAGCTGGACACTATCATCGGGTTAGGAATTGTGATAAATGATATCAAAATTAATTAAATAAGGGTCTATTTGAAAAGTGTTGTGATATTGTTTTTTTAATATTAGTATTTAAATTTGAGTCTATATCATATTGGTTGGGAATAGTTTATAATATATATTTTTTTTTTGCCAAAATCTATATCATCAAATGATATTGTGTGTTTTGATAATGGTGCGTAGAAATTAAAATAAATTTATGAATTTTTCAAAATAAAACAAAATAGTTGTATTGATATTAACAAAAAATATATATATAACGTACGACCTAAAACACATCGTGTTAAATGGAGCTTAAACTTTTAAAATAACCATATCACTGAGCTCATTGATTAGAATCAATCTGATGAACTAAATTTACAAACCTCGCTATATCACTAATGGTATGAGATAAGAAGTTAAGTGAAAAGATCATTTCATTGAGCATAGTGGTAAAATAGAAAACACATTGGCAATTGTTGTATTAGGCTCCGTTAGTTTGTTTGGATAAATTTTTTTTTTTTTGATGTTTGATTGTTTTAAAATATTTACAAATATATATATATATATATATATATATATATATATATATATTAAAATCTAACAAAAAATAACTTATGGCCTTATTTGGTAAAGTTGTATTTTTCATTTTCTTGCTTTATTTTTATTTCTAGGAAAATGGCAAGTTTTAAAAGTCTTTGCTGTCATTTCTGTCAAAATTAAAATTTGGTAATTGAATTTTTACAAAGAGAAAAGAAAAAATATGTTTGGTAATTTTTTAAAACAAATTGACTCTTTAATTTTCTATTTGAATATAATTGAAAATTAATAAAATAATATTTTTCTAATTGTGAAAAATAATAAAATAGCGTTTTCTCTAATTCTCATTTTGAAAAATAATAAAATAACAGTATTTAAAAACCAAAAAACCTTCATTTGAAGTTGAAGTTGTGAGAATTGTGAAAAAAATGACAACTAGTTTTGTAAAATTTTAAAATGTGAAAAGTCAAAATAGAGTTATCTATTTTGTTAACGTCTAAAAAAATAAAATGAAAATCACAATAGAAAATCAAAACTCAAAGTGTTAACAAACATGGCAGTACTCATCAATTTTTGGATGTCCTACTCCATGAAAAAAATTTATACTAAAAAAAAAAAAAAAAAGAAGAGGAGTCTTATAGTGAAAAATTGTTTGTTTAGAGAATCAAAATCCTGTGTGTTAATTACTATAAAGTGATGTTGTATGTATTTTTTCAATATAATGGTGTTTATTTTTTTATTTGTAATAATATTTTCGTGTGTTTAATTATCAATTTAACAGTATTACAATGATACTACTGTTATAATAGAGTGATCGTAGCATTTTAATATAAAATGTTACACGTGCATCAAAACAATTTTAAAAAATACAGGATCTCTTCTTAATTAAGGGATGATTTGGGTCCCTGTCGAATAATAATACCACGTAATAGATGGATGGTTATAAATTTTGATAGGTGATTGTTTGATGTGATGCCTTATCTATCAAGTTTAACAACTCTATAGTAATAATGCTTGAAATCAGCTAGGGACAGCAGTCACAGCAATATATATATATATATATTATGCATATTTATATCAAATGCAAAGCATGTGGTTTGGCAAAACACATTAAACAAGCATTAAATTTTGTGTATTTAAATTTTAAATCTCCAAATCACACACAAAACACATACCTAACCTGAGGTCCTAAGCTACTTGACCGACATGTTGTGAGCTAGAATAGAAAAAATAGGGAATTGAAATGAATGGTTTCCTTATGCAACACTTCCTTTTATATGTTGGTAAATATATATATATATATATATACACATATTTTTTTGGTAATTAAAAATTTAACATTTCAATAACTTCCTTTTATATTTACCAACATTTCCTTTCTATATTTACCAATAGTAACAAATACTGTGGATCTTTTGATTTTACTTGAGCAATTGAAGAGAAAAAATTAAAAGGGAAAAAAATCAGAGTTAATTTGGTTAGGAATTTTTTTTTTTTAATTTTTTTTAAAAAATTATATGAAAGAATACTTTTATTTAACTGAAATTTCAAAAAATTGAAAACATGCCATGAAAATCTATTTGGATCATTATATTTGATTTTTGAAAATAGTTCTTAAAAATTTAAAAATTATTTTTAAAACATTATAAATAAATAAAAAAAGTTCTCTAACAATTATTTTCGTTTAGTTGAATTTTTAAAAAACTGACAACAAGCCATAAAAATCTGCTTGGACTATATATTTTTTCAACTTTGTTTTTTTTCGAAACAGGAAACTAAAAAGTATTCAATGGAGCATGTTTTTAAAATTACTTCCAAAAAGTTCTTCATACCTTCTTCTAACAAACTAATGGGATTTCATAACTATTCATTCAAAAACAAAAAGAGCACATAAAGTTAAAATGATTTGTCCACCAACTAGGGTTTTGGATTAAAGAAAACAAATTATTGAAGATTCCGCTAATTAAACTAAAAGAAAATAAAATAGAAATGAGTTGTTTTATAATAAATAAACATATATAAATCAAAAAAATTCTTTAGTATTAAGAAAAGTAACGCTATTTATTTGCTACAGTGAATTCTCTTTTGGTGGTCCTTGAGGACATTTCTTTCCTCCTTTCTCCGTTTGTCCAAATTTGTCCCTCGCTTGGACCTCTAGAAAATGCAATGTTGTATCTCATTTGGTGGGTAAAAAGGCTCTTAGGGTGTATTTGGTAGGGAGAGAAGAAAAGAAAAGAAAAGATAGTGTGAGAGTGTATTTAGGTGGGTTAAGTAGAAAAAAAAAGAAGAGAGAATAGGGAGAAATAGGGAGGGATAGCTATCCCTCCCTTAGGGATGTCAATTTTTACCGCCCTGCGGGGGCCCCGCCCTGTCCCGTCCCGTTAATAACGGATATAGGAACACTTGTTATACCGTTGGGGCGGATATGGATACAAATTTTATACCTGCCGAGGGTCACGGGGCGAATAAGGGTTCAATATACATATCCTAGGGGCCCCGCCCCGTCCCGCATATAACTATATTTAATATATATATATATATATATTAATAATTTATTTTAACAGCTTACCCAATTACCCATCTCTTACAATTCTAATTTGGGATGTAAACTTGGTATTAAATTTGCTTTTGTTTTGGTTATGGTGGAAGTTGGAGCTTCGAACTTCTTGTGATTTGGTTGTATTAAATTTTTATTTTTGTTTATTATGTTCTCTGAATTATGTTATGTGCATGTTATTTTTTTTATTTTTGTTGGAATACATAATTTTATTTATGTTGTGTCATTCTGAGCTTTGCACATTTAAATAGCAGGAGTTTAAGTTCCAAAAAGTGGGAGAAAAAAATTTGTTAGTAGGGCGGGCACGGGGGCACAGTATTTCCTAACGGGGCGGGGCTGGATATGAAAATCTAACCCGTCGTGAGTCTTGGGGCGGGCATGGACTTGACAAAAATTAAAAGGGGCGGGGCGGGATTTAGGGAAACCCGCTCCAAACCCGCCCCGTTGCCATCCCTACCCTCCCTATTCCTTATATTATTTCTCTCCTAATTTGAGAAGATATGGAGAGATAGGGAGGGATAGTAAGTTATAAATTATTAATACCAAAAATGCCCTCTACAAATCAATATATAGAAATGTAATTTCATTTATGTTCCAACATGCTTAGTGGAATGCAAGGATGTATGACAATGCTAAAAGTTATTAAAAATTTTAGGATGGGAAGTGATTGGGTCAGATAGGTATAACAAATATAACAAAAATAAAATTTTCACATGCTCATAAAAAAAGGTTAAAGACTGTTAGTACCTTCAACCATGTTGAATGGTTCATCTTAGCCTTGTGTTACTTTTTTTTTTTTTTACTTTTGTTTTTACCCATGGAATTGAATTATAAAAAATAAAAATAATAAGATTTTGGAAATAAATAATATATAAAGTGGTTATGAAAGGATAGGACAGTAATTTGGTCACTATCCTTTATTTTCTTTTCCCTCCTCTATCTTATCCAAATAAGAATAACTATCATTTCTTTTCTTTTCTCCCCTATATATCCAAATACGAATATAAATTATTACTATAATTTATTTATTTTTCTTTTCTCTCCTAACTAATACTATCATTTTTTTTTTCTTTTCTCTCATATTTATCCAAACACACCCTTAAAGTTGAAAGTAGCAATTTAAAGTGGAGCATTTGGCCGGTAATTGTTAAATGTTTTTCTCCTGAACTGTATTAATCCTTCTTTTTAATATAGTCTTATGTTTGGTTAATAATAACCTAGATAAAAGGGTGTTAATATTTGCACCGAAATAAATAAATAAAATTTTTTTTCAAAATAAAGATTTAAAACAATTATTTTTAAATTTGGTCAGAATTATTTTTAATATTTCCAGGGGAGTCGACCGACAATACCTGGGTCGTCGGAGAAGAACAACCGGCAATAACCGGTTGCTTTATATTACAGGCTGTTCACAGCAAAGAATATGTCGAGTGTGTTGCAAGTATATTCATGACGTCACTCCTGTCTTCTTCTGAATATTGACTCACCGACAGCAATAAACGTCAAACGGCTAGTGGCTCCAAGTAACAGAAGTCCGAAAGTGAAATTCTTTGACTGATACAACCAATCAGTTCTCGACACGTCATCGTTCCCACAGTTCCACCTTTAAACGGCAGTTCAGTGAAAGAAGATGGAGATGAGCGTTGGACACGGTTTAGTCAAATGAGCTGTTGAGTTTGATGATAAAGTAGGTACTGTGCTATAAGGACAAAGTATGTATAAAATACAAAGGAATAACAAAATTATATGCATATATATAAACATTAAAATTCAATTTCGACTAGTTTGATTTCTTTGGCCTCTAAACCTTAAACTAAACAAATTTTGTAATTTTTGAAATTGGAACCAAATCATTGTTTGGTATGTTGAGTCACATATCCCAAATTGAAAGTTGTATTTAGATGGACGAAGCTGTGTAATAAGGGTCATTTATCTCACGTTGAATTTGAATGAAAAAGTGATTGAGTGCGTATGTAACATTATCCAACAGGTTAAGTTTTTGGGTAAATGGACAAGCATCTACCCGTTACAGTTAGTATCAGAACCAAACTCAATCATTGATTCGATACTACGCCAAGCGTCCAACTCGGAAGGTGTCCAGGTAAGCCACCCTGGGTACGTAGAGTAACCCGAGCCGTAACGAGGGCGTTGCGAGTTTGAGGGGGGGAGAATTAGGGATGACAAATTATGATACAACACGACACGAGTTAAAAGGGTTTGGGTTTGGTATAAACGGGTTTGAGTCATAAAAAGGTCAACACGATTAACCCGTTTACTTAACCGCGTCGAGTTAGGGTTGAGGGGTTCAACCCGTGTGACCCGTTTATGACTCATTTAACTCAACATGTTATAATTGTGAATATGACTTATATAATATGTTACCTGTTTAAACCCAATTATTATTGATAGTTAAGTCATTTTAACATAAACATTGTCTATGTCTTATGATTTTTCTTTTTATTTTGAATATTTGGATTAATTATGATAAATTTTCTATTATTTAGTATTCTATTAAACATTAAATGTCTCGTTTTGATAAATAGGTCATTAAACGGGTTAATAAGTTTACCTGTTTAATAAACGGGTTAGATTATTGTTGAGAATTCTTGACACGATTATATATTAAAAGGATTGGATTTGGGTTTACCTATTTAGTATAATACCTTTACATTGACACGACACGAATACGACCAATGAACATGAATTACCACCCCTAGGAAGAATGTACACATCGGATCCGGATGAGAAAATAATTGGATATAAATGAATGGGAATGCAGCACTACTCAATAACTTAAGTTTTTAAATAAATGCACAAACGTCCATCCGTTACATTATGAGTTTACGTTGATAAACCTATGTAAGTTTACATAATCTTACGTATATCAATGTATTCGTAAGTATGATTTGGTTCCCCAAATAAACTTTTTTTGCTTCATCCCTAAACTCTCGAATATCTCTTTTAAAATGAAATAAGTTTTTGGATAAATGGACAAGCTCTCACCTGTTACACTGTGAGTCTACTTTGATAAACTTATATAAGTTTACATAATCTTAAGTTATCAATGTAGTGCTATCAATGTATTCGTAAGTATGATTTGGTCCCCCAAATAAACATTTTTGGCTTCATCCCTAGACTCGTGAATATTCCATTTAAAATGAATTTAACTGAATACTAAGTGTAATGAATGATAATTGAACATATAAATAAATAGTTAAAATTGTGAAAAATGTCGCATCAATAAAATGGATCAGATTGTCTTGAAAATGAGTATGCTTGATTTATTCTATATTATCAATCCGATTTTATTACACTGTGTCTGCATCCACATTTAAGATCAGGGTTTCCAGTCTAGTAGAGACAACAGAATTACTAATAATTAATGGGTATAATACTTATTGTGATATTATGTTTAACTAAACTATTATTGTGATATATTGGTTGGGTTATATATTTAATATAAAATATTGAGACAGTATTGAATGTGTATTAACAAGACTAAAACACTCATTATTTCTCTTGATAGTTGATATAATAGAAAATAACTTACTCAAATATTTTTTTTAAGAAAGAAAAAAATATATTTATTTATTTTTGGTTAAGCTGAGCCATAGCTAGCTGCTAGCCAGATATTCAATTACATACTACACTAAGGCTCCATTGTTGTTTGGACGGAAAATGTTTTCTTTGTAAAATATTTTTAAAATATTATTTTTATTTTTTATTTTTCGGAGTTTGGTAACTGTTCACAAAATATTTACTAGATCAAATTTTGTATACAATTAACTCTATTTCTTCAATATTCTTCACCAACAAGGAATATAGTATTCACAATTCTCTCTCTCTCTTTCTTCAATGTTCCTCACCAGCCTAAAATGATACCTCTTAAACCATTCATCTCTCTTCCTTACTTTCCCTTTCTCTCTCCCCACTCGTTACTTTCTCTCTACAGTCTCTCTCTATACCTGAACATATTCTTGATTCAAATCTGTTCCTCGACGAACTCAAATTTGTCTCATCTCTTTTCTCTTCCCTCTTTCTCTATGTATACATATATAGAGGGAAGACTAAAGATTAGATTCGGGAAAACTATATTTAAGTAGAATTAGGAATCATAAATAACAAATGTTATAAGTTTATTTTAAAAGTTGATTTTCAATTCGGTTGAGTTAAGCAAAATAATTATACATGTATTGAAAATTATTATTTAGGTCCAAAAATACCCTCTCAACTCTTATTTCAAAATACCAAAATATCCGTCCTAAATCAAATAATTCTTTTGTTCAATAAATTTAGAAAAACAAGTTTTTCGAGTTGACCTTAAACTTGAAGGGCTTACTTGAAGGGCATTTTTGCATGTGCTGTATATATTTTAAAAAATAAAGAAAAAAAATTGTGCACTTAATTTTAACCGTATTTCCTAATCTATATCGGTTCAAACCTGCAAATTTCAATTTAGAAATATACAAATAATTTAGTAAAAATTCATTATATATATATATATATAATTTTATATATATAATTTGATGGGCACATAAGTTTAACCATATCTCTTAATTTATATCAATATAAACTTGCAAATGTGAAAATTTTCCTGTGCAAAGAAATATATATATAGATAGATACAGACATACAATACACACATGGGAAAGAGATCATGAAAAAACTAAATGGTTACTTCAGTAAATGGTACACCAACAACAATTTTTTTTTATAAAAATAATTGAATTAATTGAACTAAATGATGATCATCTTAAGGAATGCACCACAAAACAAAGAAGATTTATATATTCTTCACATGAAAGAGTTTAATTATATTTTTCTATTTGAGGACTAATATTTGATTGCCTAATATTTTACTTTATTAATTTTTTTTTTTTTTATTATTTGTATAAGTTCTCATATATATATATATGTGTGTGTGTGTGTATGCATGTGAAAGTTGCAACAATATTGTTCATAATTAATGGAAAGATCTTGTTTTCCTATTTGTTTTAAGTAACTAAATTATTTTAAGAAAGTAATTGATTTTAGGGAATAATTTAATATTTTAGAATAGGATATTGGAGGATATTTTAGACCCGAACAATACTTATTGATACATATGTATTTATTTTACATAATTTGAGAAATGAACTTTTAAAATAGATAATTTTGTTATTTAGAATTACTGACTCTATTTAGTTTTTCTATTAAATTTTTAGATTGAGAGAACTGAAAAAAAAAATAGTTATTGAAGGGATATAGGGGTTCAATAAGAATATGAATGGTAAATCCAAACTAACCCGTGAAAAATGACTTCGAATTTTTTTTTGATAAATTAATATGAAAAATAATTTTCTAATATTGGAATTTCCAAATACCGAAAAATAAAAAAAATAGAAGTGTAAAATTACTGACCAGAACTCCAAGTCCTCTTTTCGGTCAGCCGAGCCAAGCTGGATCCTTGCTACCGGATTACACGGTAAGAAATTTTCCGTTTTTGAAGGAAAGAAAAAAGATTAATAAAATAATTCCCAGAAAATTGATAAAAAGACACAGCCATATCCCAGAGTGGAAGTGACACACAGAGAAATAGAGAGTGATGAGAGAGAGATGGCCAATTGATTGAGTGAAGAAGAATCAAAGAATGACCGACCATCTTCACTTTTCGCTCAAATCAACATCTCTGATTTTCAAGATCTCCACATAAAGATCTCACTGTAATCGCTGTATATTTGACTCTGTATTGGCTCTGTTTTCTTTCAAAACATGGAGGCAAATGCTGGACTGGTGGCTGGATCGCACAAGAGGAACGAGTTGGTTCGAATTCGCCACGACTCGGACAGCGGGGTTTGTCTTTTTTTCCCCTTTCCCCTATATTATACATATTTTTTCTTTGGATATGTTTTTTTTTTCAGTTGCAGATTTTTTTTTGGGAAATATTTTCTTTGATTTTTTGCTTTATGGGTGTATTTGGATCTGAATGTTGGTCGTGTTCAAATGAGTTTTGAGCTCAAATTTGGATATTTTTTCATTGAATCAGAAGATATGAACTGGTTGGTTATGATTTTAAGTTCAAAACTAGTGTGAACAGTTTTGTTTTTTCTTTGCATGATATGTAATATTTGATCTGAGAGCTGTTTGATGTGGGGTGAATGCTTAGCCCAAATTTGGGTTCTTTTCATGGAATCAGGTAATGGGCAATTAATTACTACTCCATAATTATATACTTAGATTATAAACGTTTTCTAATATTTTTTTCTTTTATTGTCTTTGTGTTGGATGAAGACATTTGAGTTCAAAGTTTGTGCTTTTTTTCTTTTCTTTTTTAAATGGATTTAATAGAAGGTCAGTTTAATTTTGGGGATTTCAAAACTGGGTTCAAATTTGGGTTTGTGGGGGGTATAATCATGTCGGTACTGTTTGTTTTCAATGTGTTTTGGCATTTACTAGCTAAGATTTTGATAGTCGGAATTGGTAAAGTTTGTGATGCTACAAAAATGGTTGTTCATTCTCTTAGTTTATGGATTAAAGATAAACTTGATAGTCCACTTGAGTGAGTTTTCTGACTATATGTGGAATTTTTAGCCAGATCGACTTTTATTGACTATTTAAGATTTTTGCCCTGGACTTTATTTGTTGATTTGCTATAAAACTTTGGTTTTTGATTGAGCTTTGATGGAACTCTGTGTGCGCGTGCATGTGCTATATGAGACCTCTGACCATTCTTGTGGAGTAGTTTGAGATCATTGTATGCCTGCTTTTGAGGGTTCTTTAGTTGCTTTTGTGTGTGTTGGAAGTTTCTTCAGTTATAGTTCTTAGATGAAAGATTAGAGATGGTGTACTTTTTTTTTTATTTTTTCGATGATGGTGGTGTCTGGCCTCTTAGAGCACCCAATAATCCACCACCGAGTACATGCAATACCCGTCCCACATGCACTGGGAAATTACCAGAAAAATTCCCTGGGGCAAGGGGATTAGAGACACTGCCTTTGTCCCCTTTCTTCCTTTTTGAGTCACATTTAATATTTGCAGCTGACAAGAATTTCTGGCTGCATAACCAACTGGGCCATTAGTGCAGCTCGTATAATCTCTCCTCCCTCAAAGTGGAGGTGAGGGGATTCTTTTTATTATAGATCTGTAAGGTTCTCATGTTTATTCCCAATAAGCTTTTGTGGATTTAATTGTCTGCAATTGTTATTTCTAATTAGCATGTAATTGAAATTCCTTCAATTCAGTTACATCTGAATGAATTGAGTACATGAATAATTGAATTTGCTGATCATTTAAGCACAACATTGTTGCAGATTTGTGTTAATTCATTCAGCTCTATGAAGTCTCTGTTATATTTATTATATGCATTGTTTGTGGACGATGCAGCCCAAGCCCTTGAAGAATTTGAATGGCCAGATATGCCAGATTTGTGGGGATACTGTTGGACTTGCAGCCACTGGTGATGTCTTTGTTGCTTGCAATGAGTGTGCCTTCCCGGTTTGCCGGCCTTGCTATGAGTATGAACGGAGAGATGGAAATCAGTCCTGTCCCCAGTGCAAGACTAGATATAAAAGACACAAAGGTTAGGGTGTTTCTCATTATCTGTTTTAGATTTTATCTCCATAATTTTTTTTTGGTATACAAACATTTGGGGGTAATGGAGTAATGAGTTTTGCATCTATCAGGGAGTCCTCGAGTTGACGGTGACGATGAAGAGGATGATGTTGATGACCTGGAGAATGAGTTTAATTATACCCAAGGAAACAATAAGGCAAGACGGCAGTGGCAGGGAGAAGATGCTGACCTCTCTTCGTCGTCTAGACATGAATCTCAACAACCAATTCCCCTTCTCACCAATGGGCAGCCAGTAAGTGATAACTGATGAGAACAATCTTGGTACATCTCTAGAGTAATGTATCTTTGTACCGTGTGTAGTATGATTTCTAGATTTTTGACTTAGGCTCTTAAGTATTTTAAATATAAATTAATTGCACTATTTTAAAATTTTCAGTATTTTGTTTAATTTGGTATCCAGGGAAAAATATTTCTTAGATTTTCTACTTTAGTGGCTTCGCTCTTCCTCCTTCTCTTACACATATTCTCAGCTCTCTCAAATATGCTGAAAAACTTGTACCTCCCTTGAAACTTTTGTCCTTCAATTTTGAGTTGAAGAGGGCAGTGAATCAGTAGAGAGAAAAACTTTATTTATTCTGATCTCAATATCTTTGCTAGTGGGTTGATTCTTGTAATCACTTTTATTATTGAAAATCAGAATTGAACATGACCCAGTATTGGTAATTGTAAAAAAAAAAATTTAATAATAATAATTTCGTAAGTGCATTAACATATGAATTTCATAATTAGCACTGTCTCGAGAGTATTTGTGAGTTATACCACAGGGAAACACTTCTCACCTCTCTGGATGAGAGCTTAATTGATCTCTTTTCAGTTTCTTTCAAGGATTGAGTTGCTTGTACTAACATGAGTGTTGTATCCGTGATTTATGTTCCAGTTTGATTTTCCTGCCAGTATGCCACACATTGATCCATGCAACCATTCATGCTCAATGTTTTTGGTTATAGAACTTTTTCCTTATCAATTTCTTAAAAAATTTCAGGCATCTGGTGAAATTCCAATTTTTACACCCGATAATCAATCAGTACGAACTACATCAGGTCCTTTGGGCCCTGGTGACAAGCATTCACTTCCATATATTGATCCAAGGCAGCCAGGTATCATGCTAACTTAATCTGTTGATTGGAGATCCTCCAAAGAACTGTACTTTTGTTTGTTTGGCCTCATTAACAGTCATTTAATCATGTCACTCTTTTGTCCTTGTAGTTCCTGTAAGAATTGTAGACCCCTCAAAGGACTTGAATTCTTATGGGCTTGGAAATGTTGACTGGAAGGAAAGGGTTGAAGGCTGGAAACTCAAACAAGAGAAAAATATAGTACAAATGACCAACAAATACACTGAAGGGAAGGGAGACATTGAGGGTACGGGGTCAAATGGAGAAGAACTACAAATGTGAGCACGTTACATTCTTAGTATAGATTCTGCTTTCAGATATTGCTATACTAATTGTAAGAATTTTATAGGTAACTGAACAAATGTTTGATACATGAGAATGAAATTATTCTGTTTCAGTTACCTACCATTGAATAGGGAATAATTTTTATCAAAGAAAAGTTAAAATAATCCTACTATATTTATTTGCATGAATTAGATTATTTTAAGAATGCAAGGAAATTGTAGATTTTTTATTTTTATTTTTTTCATTTACGGTAAAACCCCAGTCAGTTTTAGGTTTCTGTTTGTGACGCTGTATATGGATTTATGTCATCTTTCATCATCTTCACATGTCATTTCATAATGACTTGAATAAAGAAAAGTGAATTTACCATCAAATTCTATGAAGAGAAAATAAATGGTTTTTTAGTCGAATAATCATATGGCCTATGCATCTCTCCCTCTCCATAATGTTAATAGATTCTTTATGTCACAGGGCTGATGATGCTCGCCAACCTATGAGCCGTGTGGTGCCTATTCATTCTTCTCACCTTACCCCTTACCGTGTTGTAATCATACTTCGGCTGATTATCTTGGGCTTCTTCTTGCAATATCGTTGTACTCATCCAGTAAAGGATGCTTATCCTTTGTGGCTGACATCAGTTATCTGCGAGGTCTGGTTTGCGTTGTCATGGCTTCTGGATCAGTTTCCAAAGTGGTTTCCCATCAACCGTGAGACCTACTTAGACAGGCTTGCAATGAGGTTAGTTGGATTTGTTTAATTTATGGAACATCCCCAATACAAACGATAGTTGGTTGCTAAGTGGTTTTAGGTTTTAACCATAAGGATCTCTTTTGGGTTGGTTATGTTTCCACATTAATCATTGTTATCTATTTTATCAGATATGATAGGGAAGGGGAACCTTCACAGTTAGCGCCTGTAGATGTATTCGTCAGTACAGTGGATCCTCTGAAAGAGCCTCCTCTCGTTACTGCCAACACTGTGTTGTCTATCCTCTCTGTGGATTACCCTGTCGACAAAGTCTCTTGTTATGTTTCAGATGATGGGTCAGCAATGTTAACCTTTGAAGCCCTCTCTGAGACGTCAGAGTTTGCAAGAAAATGGGTGCCCTTCTGCAAGAAGCACAGCATCGAGCCTAGGGCCCCTGAATTTTATTTTGCTCAAAAGATTGATTACTTGAAGGACAAGATACAGCCTTCTTTTGTGAAAGAGCGCAGGGCAATGAAGGTAATTGATGAATGATGAGATTTGCATAATTTAATGTTGGATTGGCTTTCTGATTATGTTTCTCAGCTGCTGTTACCCATACTTTATAGTAACACACAATGCTCTGTGAACCCTCACAATGATTTTTTTGATAGAACAAATGGTTGATGATGGGGAACCAATCATTTTCATTTAGCAACTAGAAACAAAAAAGTATAGTAACATGATAGTAAATGGTGCTTTGTCAACCCTTACAGTGAATTTTTAAAAGAACAAATGGTTGAAATGATGGGGAACCGATTGTAACTGTTTCTCATTTGGCAGCAAGAAACAAAAGTATGGCAGTGGCTGATTTCTCAATTCTGGAGATATATGCTGATTACATAATGTGGCAGAAACATTCCTCCTTTTAACCGGTCTTGTTTTAATTCTACAAGAACATCATCTCCAGTTTCTCCTTCATTTTGAATAATAAAGTGTGTAACTAAAATGTCCCTTTTTGGTATCTCTTGATCCTTGATCTTACTATATCGCCACGTATTTCTACTTTGCTAAATTTACATTCCATAAATTTAATACTACTTATCTTAAATCCTCTGATTTTAGAGCTTATCTTCAGACCTTTTAATTAAAATTATCCCCACTTCAGTTTCACCAGTTAAAACAATATAATCAGTAAAAGCTTGCATATGGAACCTTATCATAAACATGATTAGTGAATTCATCATTGGAAATAGGATTAGAAAATAAAAAAGCACATATACAACTTAGTACAGTAAACCACCCTTCCCCCTTCTTCATCTTCCCCCACTTTCCAGGATGTGGTCTAAAATAGAAGTGTATGTTTACATTCAAATGGTCAAAGGTTTGATATGCTGCATTTGTTTTCGTACAGAGTGTCTGAATTTGCAATAACTTGCAAGTATCAGAGCGATCAGCTTCAGAAGTATTGAGTTGAATATATGGCAGAACATTTGAAGAATATTGTCAAGACTGTTTTAAATTTTCAGCAAACTATATATCTCCCTTCTTTATTAGTAATAATTTTATAAAACAATTTGTTTCACAGAGAGAGTATGAAGAATTCAAGGTACGAATTAATGCTCTTGTTGCAAAAGCACAAAAAACGCCCGAAGAAGGTTGGACAATGCAAGATGGAACTCCTTGGCCTGGAAATAATCCTAGGGATCATCCGGGAATGATCCAGGTCTTCTTAGGGCACAGTGGTGGCCTTGATACAGATGGGAATGAGCTACCTCGGCTGGTTTACGTTTCTCGTGAGAAGCGTCCAGGTTTCCAGCATCACAAGAAAGCCGGGGCAATGAATGCATTGGTTTGTGATTCCATAGTGATTCCATAGTTTTATTTAACACGCTAATTTTCTTTTAAACATTGGTATTTAGCGTAGTTTTATTTATTATATTTTTTTATATTTTACAGATTCGCGTTTCAGCTGTCCTGACCAATGGTGCATATCTTTTGAATGTCGATTGTGATCACTACTTCAATAACAGCAAAGCTCTTAAAGAAGCCATGTGTTTCATGATGGATCCTGCTCTTGGAAGGAAAACCTGTTATGTACAGTTCCCACAGCGTTTTGATGGCATTGACATGCATGATCGATACGCCAATCGCAATATTGTCTTTTTTGATGTAGGTTGCAGATGATGCGTTGTGACCATTTCAGTTTTATTTATCAACATTATCTTTTGTTACACTGTTTAATTTATTGTATTCTGGCCCTATGTTGCAGATCAACTTGAAAGGATTGGATGGCATTCAGGGTCCAGTCTATGTGGGAACTGGATGTTGTTTCAACAGGCAAGCTCTGTACGGGTATGATCCAGTTTTAACTGAGGCAGATTTGGAGCCAAACATTATTGTTAAGAGTTGTTGTGGCTCAAGGAAGAAAGGAAGGAGTGGTGACAAGAAGTATATTGATAAGAAGAGAGCGGCTAAAAGAACTGAATCCACCATTCCCATTTTCAATATGGAGGATATGGAAGAGGGTGTTGAAGGTAGATCTTTATAATAAGTTTTTTATCTTATTCTTTTGAAAAATTATGCTTTAATATTATGTTTCATCGTATCAATTATCGAGTAGGCCGAGTTTACAAATGCAGACACAGTCCTGCAGACATGTACATACAGAAACCCACCAACCTGCGCATCCAGCAACCCACACATACTTGGAGAGGAGGTATAGGGGAAAGGCAGGGGAGAACTTAGGGGAAAGGCAGGGAGAACTTAGAGCAATGTTTTCATAATTAGTGGCTTTGAACCATTTTGTTTTGAGGTTTTTATCCAACAGTAATTTGGGAATATCTCATTTTATTTTATTTTGTTTGGTTATCGCAAAGCTTATTTTATTTTGGAGATCTACTACCAAGTTTAGATGCATTATTTTGGTGTCAAGTCAGTTCATTTGATTATGATTTTTTTACACTAAATTTTCCAGTAACTTGACAAGACCTCACTCAAGTTGTGAAACTTCATACTCCTTTTCAATTTTGATTAAATTAATGGTGAAACTGATACTGGTGGGGAATTACTGGAATCATTCTTTTTGTTAACTGCATTCCTTATTGATACAGGATATGATGATGAGAAATCACTTCTTATGTCCCAGAAGAGCTTAGAGAAGCGATTTGGTCAGTCTCCAGTTTTTATTGCTGCCACCTTTATGGAGCAGGGTGGCATTCCACAATCAACCAATCCTGCGACTCTTCTAAAAGAAGCTATTCATGTTATTAGCTGTGGATACGAGGACAAGACTGAGTGGGGCAAAGAGGTAGTTGTTATAGCAATATGGCATATATAAGACATGATTTGGCTTCTTTTATTGAATGTTGTTGCATTTTGAAAGATGAATTAGTTAAAGTTTCTTATTTGTCTAAAATCAGATTGGATGGATCTATGGCTCTGTGACTGAAGATATTTTAACTGGGTTTAAGATGCATGCACGAGGATGGATTTCAATCTATTGCATGCCTCCTCGCCCTGCATTTAAGGGGTCTGCTCCCATCAATCTTTCTGATCGTCTGAATCAGGTTCTTCGGTGGGCCTTGGGGTCAATTGAGATTCTACTGAGCAGACATTGCCCAATATGGTATGGGTACAATGGAAGACTGAAGCTCTTGGAGAGACTGGCATACATTAATACCATAGTCTATCCTCTCACCTCTATCCCACTACTTGCTTATTGTACACTTCCCTCTATCTGTCTTCTTACAGAGAAATTCATCATTCCCGAGGTATGTGATGAATTCCGCTTTGTTTTGCTGAGCATTCATCTAATAAATCTATCAAGCATCAACCTAATCTTTGCCGATTACTTGAATTTCTTTGTATGTTTGCAAACACTACCTCATGAGGGCTCGTTTGAAGCCAAAAGTTTAGCCTAAAAGGCCGTTAAATAATTGACCATATTGGATCTGGTTATCTCATGTTCTCCATGTTCTGAAAATCCAACCAAAATAACTGAATGCATTCAAATGCAGAAACATTGTGAGGATTAGATTGGCTTCTCTCTACTCGTGTTTATCCTTAATATTATGTTTTATGGCGAGCTCTTACAAATCTGTTATACTTGTCTGCAGATAAGCAATTTTGCTAGCATGTGGTTCATTCTGCTCTTCGTGTCTATTTTTGCAACCGGAATACTGGAGCTCAGGTGGAGTGGTGTGAGTATTGAGGACTGGTGGAGAAATGAACAGTTTTGGGTCATTGGTGGTACATCGGCTCATCTCTTTGCTGTCTTCCAAGGTCTCTTGAAAGTGCTTGCTGGGATTGATACCAACTTCACTGTCACTTCAAAGGCATCTGATGAAGACGGGGATTTTGCGGAGCTTTATGTGTTCAAATGGACATCTCTGCTCATTCCTCCGACCACAGTACTTGTTGTAAACATGGTCGGTATTGTTGCCGGAGTTTCATATGCCATAAACAGTGGGTATCAGTCATGGGGTCCTCTATTCGGCAAGCTGTTCTTTGCCTTTTGGGTCATTGTCCATCTTTATCCCTTCCTCAAAGGTTTGTTGGGTCGGCAAAATCGTACTCCCACCATTGTCATTGTCTGGTCCATCCTCCTTGCTTCCATTTTCTCCCTTCTATGGGTACGGATTGATCCGTTTACTTCAGACACCACAAAAACTGCTTCAAGAGGTCAATGTGGCATCAATTGCTAGGTTTCAAGCTCACCATTGTGTAGATAAAAAGTTTTTTAAGGCATTGAAAGCACATGTAGGAGGCCCTAAGTTATGTTGTACTATTGTTCTTTGTCTGAGTGATGGATGAAGGCATCAGAGAGACCCTTGTTTATTTTGGGCCCGTTTGTTCTTTATGTAATCTTCACCTTGATAATCTTGTGTGGATAAGAGTCGGTCATTACGAGAATAGGTCTCTCAAACTTTAGTTTTGATTTTGTTGTCATTGTGTAGTATTTAATTGATTTATTGTCAAGAACATACAACGAACAATTTATGGGATTAGTTCCTTTGAAAGAGAAATTTGTGACTGTATTATTCTATTTTAATTCCAGCTATGGAGACCCTTTTGATTTGATGATATATGTGTGTGTGTATATTATATATATATATATATATAAAGGAAAGGGAAATAAAAAAGGAAAGGGTTGCAAGAAAATATGCTTTTTTTAATTTTATAATCTATGTAAATATATGATTAAATGGTCAAGTTTTATCAATATTTATTATACTAACAGCAGTGGATCATAGGGAAGCAATGAAGCGGAAACTTGAAACCACAAATCCACAATGTAGAATCCAAAGCACTTGCATTGGGCAAGTTTTGTACGGTAGATGATTAATGCACTGGCAAAATGTTCTAGAAGTAAAGAACGAGGGTGTTAACGTGAGGAACAATCTTTTCATAAAGAAGTAAGATTACTTGCTTATAACTTTTTTCAAATTTTATAATGACAGAACATACTGTACAAGATTTATTCTTTTTTATTTTTAATTATCGATTTTCAATTATCGATAACAATAGTGTGACATTTTGATACTATTGTTAAAAAAAACATACTCAAATTAACAAACTTGAGTCTAATTTGAAGGATGTGAGCCTAACTTAAATTTTAAAAAATAAAATCAAATTGGATTCTAGTTGGAGTTGTTGGATTGAACTTTGGGTTAGACCCGAACTTGAATTGAGCTCGGTTAATTCTTCCGTGCCATTAAAAAAAAAAAAAAAAAATGTCCCGTAGCAACACGTCGTCGTTTTGTAATGATTTTATTGCCAGAAATTAACACACTGCCTCGTCAGAAGAACCATTTATAAAAGGGAGGAGCAGATTGGCCAAGGGCTTTTGAGCGAATATATCCCCTTGTCCGGAACTTCTAGAGAGAGAAAGAGATTGTAGAGAGAGAAAATTAGGGTTTCAGATTGGTTCATACATACCATAATTCAGAATGGAGGCGATAACTGCGGGAGTGACCAACATGAACATCACAGATTCTCACAAGAGGAATCGCATCCAGGTCTCCAACACCAAAAAACCCCTCTTCTTCTATGTCAACCTCGCCAAGGTATATACCCACATTATTTCTCTCTTTCTCTCTATATCTATATCTATACCTATATCTATATAAATATGTGAGCGTTTGTCTACATATATGTGTATAGACATGTAGAACTATATATAGGGGTATCTATCTAGAATTTTCTGTGAATAATTGTTACGAAACAGCCCTTTTTTAAAGTGACGGACATGATGATTTTTTATCTTGGCTGTCAAACGAAACATCATAATATATTGGTTTTTATGCATACTATCTGTTCTAACTGAAACCTAAAAATTGTGTTCTATCAGTTGATTACATGATTTCCCTTTTGCCAGTAAAAATGATGACATTCAAGACTATTGATTTCTTTTATTTTACCGTGATTTTGTAGCTGAGGCTCTTTTTGTTTTGACTGAAAATGATATAAGCCCGAATAAAGTTATAATTGTATTTGAGGGAATAGAAGAATGAGAGGATCAATTGTCTAAAAATTCAGATACCCTTTTGTACGCGGAACCAGGTGTTTCAGAAAGGTATTTTGGTCTGGTGGTATGTGATAATGGTTGTGATAATAAGTCAGTTGCATTGATAATGACTAAGAGAATCTCCTAGTTTAGTTCTGTTCTTTGGCTTGATTATAAAATCATTACAGTAACGTAAAGCTACACACATGTATGCAGCCTTGCGTTTCGGTCTTATCATTAATTTGTGCTTTGATTAATTATCTTTGCAGAGGTATCTACAACAATACAATGAGGTGGAACTCTCTGCACTGGGAATGGGTATTAATTTTAATCTCCTTTTTATAAAACAATATATGAGTTTTGGTATTGATTAGTTTATTCCTTTGATATTTCTTCTTATTGTTAATAATTCTTCTCACTTGCCAATTGAAAGCAGTTTGATATTTCTACAACATTTATCAAGAACTGAATTATTTTTGTTGCGTATTATGACTTTAGTGATAGGAAGATGTTCCCTCTGCTGTCCTCTTGTATTGCATTGATGAGATAGATAATTGCATTATGTCATTCAAATTGATCAAGGTTGTTTCCATTCATTGTTTCGAGTTTGGACAAAGGAGATGATAAGATATAGAACCTGACTCTTAATATAGCAATTGCAAAAATATATCATCATATACGACTTTATATTGCAAGTATTCATACTCTCTCTCTCTCTCTCTCTCTCTCTCTCTATCTCATACACACACACACATATATATGTATATATGTTATCTCTAGGTTAACAGTTAGGATGTTTGTTTTCCATTTACACAATACACAATATAAACTTTAAATGCTTATCAAAGGGGAAAAATGAGGTATAAACTTTAAACAACATGACATTGAAGAGCAGATTGTAAGTTGTTTTGTCACATCTATGCCCACTGGTGCCAGTCTTTGTTACATGGACTCTTTTAAAGTAATGAAGTACCCGTCGGACACGTATCCCTCGGACATGGGTATGGGATATGTGTCCGACACTTTTGATTGGACATGTAGTTAAAAAACATATCTTATCATTTAATTACATTATATTATTACTTTAAAATGAGTTAAATGTCTATATTGAACATCATATTAGATAAAACATTACTTTACTCTATAAAATAAAATAAAATAATTAATAAAATGAATATTTAGCCGCGTCTGTGTGTCCTTCTGTTTGGAGATTTGACACGTCTGACGCATGGATACCCGTGTTCGACTCCCGTACCCGAGTCCATGTAACATAGGTCCCAATTAGTCATTCTTAATCATCTTGCCTAATGTTGATGACCTTATGCTAATTTCATATGTGAGCTACTTAATTTCACTCCGTGTTTTGCTTCCTGTGGTAATTTTCATGCATCCAATCCTATGTCTGGATAAAGGAGGGTTGTGGTAGGGAGATGCTAAAATAAAACATGTAGTCACATGTTCTGAACATGGGATGTTAAGAATTTATAGTTGGGTTATTTCCCTGGATTTAAGGTATAGCTTACAGAGAACTGACTGGAGGAGTCAGATACATGTAGCTAACCCAAGTAGTTTGGATTAAGGTTGCCTGAGTGGAATTAGTCAACAGTTGAACTCAAGAATGAAGGGGGTGGTGCTGACACATTTCTTGTAGTTTTGGGTTAATCGATTCGTTCTCATCATCATTGCCTTAGCTTTGTTCAAGTGTATATCACCACAGGATAAGCTTTAGGGAAAATTTTCTTAGGTATCTAAATAAATCAATCAAGAGTCTTGGAAGTCGAAGGTTCTCAAGTGATTTGGAAGTCTTTGGATGTCTATGCAGTATATGCTTATTATGTTTTTCCTTCAGCTGTCCTTGTAGTTTCTGTGCATCGACACAGATAGGTTGAAGGTTGCATGGTCAAAGTTGTAATTTTGTTATCCTTGATCTCTTTTTTCTTAATGAACACATACATACATAAAGAACTCCCATCGGTTTAACTCTCATCAGCTTAACTTTCATCAGCTACGTTCTGAACTATTGATTGGAAATTGAGTCAATGGAACTTATTTATTGGCAGAATCTGTAATGGTTAAATTGTTCTCTAGGGAGATAACATATATACTTTGGAAGCCCTGAATGAACGTTATGTTATGCTTATAATTTTCATCTCTCTCTTTTTTTTTTAAATGCATTACTGTTGCTTGGGTATTGCAGACTTTCACATTTGGTATTGGTGACAATCCTATGAATATAGGCTTCTCTTTGGTTTTCTGAAGGATTAACATGTTACATTTTGTCTACAGCCATTGCTACAGTAGTCACAGTTGCCGAAATTCTGAAGAATAATGGATTTGCTGTTGAAAAAAGTGAGATTCCAACTTCTTTCCCAAATTCTCCGTCTTCCCCTGCTCCCTCCATTCTTTATGGCTTTGTAGACATTTTGAAAGTATTTTGTAATAACATTTTCATATGCAGAGATTAGGACACTTACCATTGACATGAGGGATGAACCAGAAAGGCGACCTGTCTCAAAAGCAAAGGTAATTTGGGAATTGCATATTAGATTTAGTTGAATCCAATTGGTGTATGGTTTAAGAGATATCCTGTTCCGCTTTCGAGATTCTTTGGCATCCTTAGTTGGAAAAGTATAGAATTTGAGAATTAATACCTCCAATAAATCTGGAACAAGCATGCTGTTGAAAAAATATATATAATAAGACAATGGAAACATTCTTGCATAATGCCTACCTTATGTTTTATGAAGATTAGGAGGCATTGTGCTCTTTACTTACTGGGTCAGTGTTCAAAAGAAAGTAGGCATGATAAGATTCTTTCAGCAACTTAGTTTCAATTACAAGTTGTGGATTAAGGCTTGCTTAGTTTGTTAAGCCATTCGATTATATTATTTTATGGATTATGGAAGAACTTCCAATAAGTTTGGGAACAGTATGTACATGGCATTGTGCAACGATGGAAGTTCAATTTCTCAAATATGAAAAAGCCACTTTGTATGAATGATGTCAAAGGTCAGGTGTCTATACGTAGTTTACCCTTTTTCTTTTGATAGGTGAGATTGTATTAGAAAGCGTTCAAATGGGGAATGCATCCCGCAAAAGTTTCACAAGGCCAAATAGGGCCCCGAGACTCTCAAAGGGTCCAAAAATCAACTCTCTCACCCATGGATTACAATCTCTCCCAGGAACCCAACAAAACGAGAACAAATATTAGAGAACTTCAGTGCTCCAATAGTAGTCTTCTCTCCACCAAAGGATCTCTTGTTAAGCTCTTTCCATAAACACCACCAAACACACAAGTACGCAACTGTCCAAAAGTCACAGGCTTGGGCACCCATCGTACCTCCTCTCCAAGCCTCAGTCATGTCTCTCGAGGACCGAGGCATAACCCATTGGACCCCAATCATCCTTTACATCGTCTGTTAGTGGGATCAATACTAGATAACCACAGTTTTTTCAAATAATGCCAAGGTTGGATTTTGTATCTAGTCTATCCTTGCGTTTGGAGGACCAAAACAGGATAATCCCTTTTTTTTTCTCCCTGAACCTTCTTGATGTTTGTTCCAGTCTTTTGGGAGAGCATGTCACATTTTTAGTTTTAGTTGCCTTTATGAACGTAAGAGGATTTAGTTACTGCTGCCTTATTATATCGACTCTCTTAAGGTTGTCACCTGGTCATTTTTCACTGGTGATAGTAGAAATGGTTCTTTTGGTTTACACACGGCCTCTAAAGTGGAATTTAATGGGAAGCATCCTTTGCTTGCATTATTTGCATATATCTAGTTTATAATTATCTCCTTGTAGTTTATGTTTAAAATGGCACTTTTGGTGTAATGCTGAACCTAAACTCATGGGTTGGGTTTAGGTTGAAAGCATAGCTTTTAGGCTTGGGTTGGTCTGTCTCTAAGTTGGCTCACTGAACTTGGATTAGCTTTCGGTCAACTTTTACAGCTGAAAACATGGGCTTGGTTGTTTTTCTGGCAATCTTGCATGGTATTTGTAAGGCTCGATTTTTCTGGGCATATATTGAGATGTTGCTGTTATTTTTCTTTTGTAGATTGAAATACTGCTGGGAAAGACGGAGAACTTTGACGAGTTGATGGCTGCTGAGGCAGAGGCAAGGGAACTTGGTGTTGAAGAGTAGCAGAGCTGAAACATATGTTTCTTGAAATTTGGTTTGTTAGTGGACTTTCATCTGTCAAGTTCCTTTAGTTCTTTATAGTGGACATCACCTCATCCTTTCCCCCAAACATGAAAAAGGAAAAAAGAAAAAGGAAAAAAAGGAGAGGATATGATTAAGGGTAATTTCTAGGTTTGCATTAAGTAGATGTTATCTGAGGATTTGATATTTTTTGTGTGTAAAGAGAAAAATGGCATTGTTACTCAAATTTTATTGTTTTGTTTATGTCAGCTCCATATCACATGATTAAATATTGAGATAATGTGGCATATAATTATATAGTCGAAGATGCTACTATGAGGGTTTCCTAACTTGATCTAGTGTCCTCCACATTAATATAATGTGTTAGTGGTATATAACAACGAGAGGATGTTAAACAAGCTGGTTCTGCAATTTTTTGTGCAATTCGATTAGTTTTCCGTCATCATATATTCTCTGATTTCAGAAATGAGTGAACTATGTGTGAGAATTAGAGGACACTAATCAAAATCGGTGCTGAATTTTTGGTAGCGAACTTTTCAGTTGCCACCAAAATCTGATCCCAGGCTTCTGATTTGATCAATTGTACTTGCTCCAAATTTTCAAGTCCAAGGACCCAGTGAGACTGATGGGTTAGTCTGGGGCTTCTAATTAGGCCCAAAAAAGGACGATTGTAATATGGGGTTGTGAAGCAACACCAAGTGGTGCTAATCTTCTTATTGGCTGGCCAATTTTGATGGTAAATGTCATGAGGCCAGAGAAGAGGAAAAATGTTGATTCTTTATTTTTGGTTAAAAATTTAGCAATTGTTTACCCAAAAAGAAATAGCAATTGCCTAATATCTAATTTGGCAGTGGTATTGCTTCTCCTCTTCTGCTGTCAAAATGAGCATTGGCAAAAGCCAATAATTTAATCGACTCAAAACGGGCCAATATAAAATTTGGTCAGAACGCAAACGTATAAAATTTGGTCAGAACTAGTTCATTTGTATGCTATAATAATATTTGGGCATATCCTAAGTCGTTATGTACTTTGTAGAATAAAAAAAAAATTGTAATTTTATATACATAATATTAGAAGCAATTAAAGTAAAAAAATTATAGCATATTTTTTATTTAAAAAAAAAAAAAAATGCGACCTGAGAAATCTATAAATTCATTCTCAAATTTTAAAGTGATAATGTTTAAATTTTCATACATGAAAGTTTTCTTTGAAAGAACTCTAAAATAATAAGCTTCAACAATTTCTAACCATTTTTATTCTTAATTTTGCACATATCTAACCATTTTTATTCTTATTTTTGCATATATCTAACCATTTTATTCAATATTGGGTACAACTTGATAATTGCCATTTCATAATAAATATAAAGCATAGTTGTCATTAATTCAATAAATGAGAAATCCATTATAAATTCAAGAATTCGACGATTTGTAATTTGACTTCGTGAATTGGGAAAAGATTTGCTCCCGCCAATTTGACTGCATAGCGCAAGAGCAGCACTAAAAGGATTGCACGGACTTTTCCTTTTATTTTCGTCTTCCTACTAAAAGATGTAAATCTTCTTTTTCCCATCCCATATATGTTGTTTTGTTAAAAGTTTGAAGAACTGGAATATGTGGCCTGCATTTTATATATATATAAAACATACCTAATGCAAGATTATTATCCTACACAAACAAGAACTCAGACAATCATACAAACTTAATCACCTATATTGTTGTCCCTATGTTAATTACTCAACAGAGCCACAAGATGTGACCGTCAAAATTGTAGTAAATGAATCGACTCCATAAAAAAAAAAAAAAAAGGAGAAACAGATATTGTTGCTGGATGGGAGATCAAGCAGACCGAAGATGGTTGCTCTTGCTCTATAAACTACTTTTGGAGGTGTTTGAATTGGTTTCAAAAGACATGTAGGAAATAGTTGATGAAATGACAAGTTTCTAATAGTTGGATTTAAAAAAAATATATATAAATGTTGCTTCCCTCTGAATACGTTTCCAGAGGGAAGTAACATACTTCAAAGGAAATCTTCTTGCACAATGATGACACTGGAGCAACAAAGCTGAAAGTGAAATTCTCCTGGGGCAGCCTACTTAAAAACAACATTAAGCCGCAACATCTTTCCATGCTTGTCTCAAATTATTCTGACTCACATATAAGTAAAATCAACGTCACGTAACATAGCTCTCAAAGATATCAGTTCTAACCTCGGAAACCAGGCTCCTTGAACTGAGTCACGAGCTGTTATCCTTCGACTACAAAAGATTAAAAAGAAGGAATGGAATCTGGGAATTAAAAAAAAGTTCAGGTGGAAAAAGGGTGCAACATAAATCAAACCAGTATAGTTGTATCCTATCGACCATCTTGCTCAAAGATGCACAGCAAGTACTCAGTTTCATTTATTCATCTGAAAGAACTCTTCTAAGCATCATTCTCTTCCTCTACCAATATCCTCTTGCACGCTTCATAGCACATAAATGAAATCCCGGCAGCAGGCACCAACTTCATGCAGCTGGGCCCAAGCCCTTTATACAAGCCCTGAATCCCTTCCTGTTCAAGTATGCTTGAGAGCGCATGAAACACGTTCTGGTACACTTGTCGTCCACTCACGGCCCCTACCTGCATGTGCTTGCGAGCCACCTCAAGTGGGAACGTTGCACTACTTGAAATGGCACCAGCTGCTGATCCAATCAACAGGGTTTCTATGTTGCCGATTTTCTCTTGCATGAAAACTTTCCGATATGCTTTCCGTAAGGTGTCATAAGCAAAGTAATTGGTAGCCGCATATGGAACTACTCCAATAAGACTAGGGGTGAGACCTCTGTAAAGTTCTCCAGGTCCCCCCTCTTGCAATATTTTTATGAATGCATCAAACAGGCCATCATAAACACCCCTCTGCAATTCAACACAACCCGCCAAATACATATATTTGCTACAATCATAGTCTTGAGTAGAAATACTGAATTAGTCAAATGGGCATTGAATTTACCTGTATGGTTAGCCGAGTCTTCAGTAATTCTAGCGGATACGTCACCAGAGTGGAGCTAACCCCAGCACATGCCCCTGCAATCAGTGAAGCAGGGATGGGGATTTTGGGCTGTTCCCCAGGCTTTGGCGACAAGTTCTTGTTAACTGTATCATAAGCAAAAAGCTGCATAGCCATAAAAATGATTTCAGCAAAGATCTAATAACTTGCAATATCGGATTATTATTACATTTTTAAAAGAAGGATAGTTGCTGGATATGCAATCGTATAATTCAGAATTTTCTTTCATTTCTAATTTGGACTACACTAATGTATCAAACAATGATTACTTTCAATGAAAATTTATTCCAACGTCAAGCCATGAAAGAATCTTATCATTCCATTCAAAATGGTAAAGCTCAATTTGTGTAAAACAAAGAAAAATACTTTCTTCATGCAAGGCATATAAATTTTATACTGTGAGCAGACAGCAGGGTGCTAGCTTATATATACATACATATTTGGTAAGGAAGAGCTTGATTAATCATTGGAACCAAAAACAATAAGAGCACAAATAATCTTGTTCCCCAGGTAAATAACACTATAGCAAATGCAACATGAAGAAGTCACAAAAGATCTATAATGCAAAGTAGTCAACCGGCAATGGGCAAATAATAGAACTCTCGCTCTCTCTATAACTAATTTTTTTTAATCGAGATTGGTGCTCAGTCTGCTGAAAAAAGGTTTAACTAAATTCATATAGAAAGAAAGATTTGGGTTATCAGGTTTGGATCGAAATGTAATCCCTGAAAACCGGGGCTGGAGTATGAAACTTGTTACGTTTCAAAAGAGGACTTGCCATGGAATAAATAAATATATTAGATTAATCATTCGGCCGATTGTTTATCCTTCCTTTGCTTCAGATGGCAGTCTCTCTCTCTCTCTCTGCTGTGGAATTATAGATTTCATAAACAACCTTCTATAGCAAAATTCAACTTTGATTCGCTTTAATTTTCAAAAAAAAAACTTTGATGATTTTAAATTAAAACAGAGGTGACAATAGGGGTGCCACTCAGACGGGTTGAAGGGTCGGTCAGTCGTAGCTCAATCCGCACTATGAGCATTGTTGCCCAAGCCCAGGTTGAAACTGACCTTAGGTTAGGGAGACCTAGCCCAAGCCCGAACATGGTCGGGTTGGTCTCCAAACTAGTCAAATTATTTTTATAACAAAAGAAACTATAAAATAAAATAAAAATCAGTAACTAATGACTCAATAAACAACAGCAATTAAATGATTCAAAAAAGAAAAAACTTAAGAAATGAGATCAAATGTTAGAAATCACCATTTGATGTATACACAAAAAATATATATATATAAAAAAAATAAAAAATAAAAGAAAGAACAAGAAATTACTGGCGGAAAACGAACGAGTTTTTTAAATCTGTAAGAAGCTCGATGAATGAACGAGTGGGGTTTCTAACAATAGCTAGGGTTAGGATTTCTCTCTTTAACAAAGATGAAGATGATGGAGATGGAGATGAAGATGACAGGCTGGCTAGGGCTTCTCTTGTTATCGAGTAGCAGATGACTGGCTGAAGATGAAGATGACAAGCAGACACAGACAATGGTGAGTGGCTAGGCTAGGGTTTCTCTCTCCTGCGAATGGTAAGCTGCTAGGCTAAAGTTACCTTATCTCCTCTAAACTCTAGAAATTTCTGAAGAGATAAGGTTCTATACGGGAATGCCTTAGCCATTGGATGATAACGAAAGGCTAAGATTAATATGTAATAATATAATATAATAAAAAATACATATTACAAATTGAGCTTCGGTTGGGTTCGACTTACAAACCTCCCAACTCGAGTTGGGATCGGATTGAGCTAATTGAGCCCAAGCCCATCCCTAACTTGGGTCAGGCATGCGTTGGTCGAGTTGCACCCGACTGACTGACTTAATCTATTTTATTATCAATATTCATCTCTTTCTCTCTTTCTCTAAGATGCACATTGACAGTTTAATTTTCAATATTAGTCTTTTCTCTCTCAAAAGAGAGATGAATATTGACAATTCAAAAGAAAAGGTGAAAGATGAGCAAGTAAGATCCACGCCTGAATCTTGAAGCAAAACAAATGAAGCACTATTAGTGCTCTGAAGTCCAAAGAAATAATCAATTTAGATCCCATAAAACATATATATATTTTTTGACAAGTATATAAAACATAAAACATATATTAAAAGGAGAAAAGAACATTTAAGATCAAACATCTGTTGGACTATTGACGAATGAACCATTACCCCAAAATTTATATATATTTTTATATAAAATAGAGGTGCAAAGTGACCCAGTATCAGAGGAAAATTTTAATTGGTAAGCAATTTGGAAGTATACGTAATATGGGGAAATATTCAAATGAAATAATATATGCATAAGGAAATCATGAAAATAACACACACACACACACACAAACACAAACACACAAAAAAAAAAAAAAACTTATATGCACATATATATATAAACACTACCATAATAATGGTGAAAGTTTATATCGTCAATATTCTGACTTCAGAAGGCATTTTCAGGATTGGGAGATCGAGGATGTTTCTCGCTTTCTGGAGCTTCTGTATAGCCATGTGATCTCTTTTGGGGAGTCGGATCGTTGGTTCTGGGTTCCTAACTTGCAAGGCCGTTTTGAAGTTAGGTCTTTTTTCAGATGCCTTTCGTTTAGTCACGGAGACCCCTTCCCCTGGAAGTCTATTTGGCGTTCCAAGGCTCCCCGCAAGGTTGCCTTTTTTGCTTGGACCTCCGTCATGGGTAAGATTTTAACCCAGGATAATTTGAGGAGGAATCAGGTGGTGGTCAATCATTGTTATATGTGCTTGTGCAATGAGGAGTCAGTTGATCACCTTCTTTTACATTGCAGCATGGCCAGAGATTGTTGGGATTTGATGCTTGGTTTATTTGGGGTCCATTGGGCTATGCCTTGTTCCTCTAGAGGGTTGATTAAGGCTAGGAGAGGCGTCTCTGTGGGGCCTTCCATTCGTGATGCTTGGAGGGCTACACCGCTTTGTATTTGGTGGTGTATTTGGCTAGAGAGAAATAGGAGATATTTTGATGGAAAAAAGAAGCCTGTTTCTATGCTTAAGTTCTCTGTAATTTCTACTCTTTTTTGTTGGGTTTCAGGGAGAGATTATAGATCTACGGAGGAGATTATTGTTTTTTTGGCCTCTCTGAAGGTCTAAGGCGCCAAAGGCCCTTTTGTTTCTTTGGGTTCCGCTCCCCTTTTGAGCGTTTTTAATAAATTCTTACTTATCAAAAAAAAAAATATTCTGACTTCAAAAGGAGTACCTCAAGGCCAGTCTTCTGGCTACTATAGTGTGGATAGAACAAATTCAGGGGGATAAACTTGTAAACCGACAAAAAGGGTAATTATTTGTTTAATTTAGATGAGGATTGTGTTTTACTGAATGGTAAATGGGTTTAGAAATTTCAGTTACGTTATCAGTACAGAGTAAAGTATTACTGATGGTGAACATAATCTATAAAAGAAATCTACTGGATATTCAAAATGCATCCATGGTAAATCATAGAGCTGAAAGGCAACTGCTTCAAAGCAACAATAAGCTCTGTATAGTGTGTGTGTGTGTGTAAAAGAATGTTATAAACATCCATAAGGTATAAAAACATGATGGTAATCTTATAAATAGAGAAAATCCACAAAAATCGAAACATAACAGAACTTATATAATTCAAAAGAAATATAATTTCAAAGTCTACTACGAGGAAGCTCTCAATGAGCTTGTGCCCTCATAACAGTTGAAACGGCCATCAGGGCATTAGAAGCATCCCGTGTACTAGAGAATCTCTTCGACATTTTCTAATATTTGCACCAAAAGCAGTGCATATGTCAACAATTTGCGCCACTAAATGAAAGTGTATACAAACATTTTTTCGTATTTTCTAGCATTTGTCAACATTTTCTAGTATTTGCACCAAAAGCAATGCATGTCAATAATTAATGAAAGTGTATAAAAACATATACTTGTAGAGAGCACCATTGTAGTATCTTTTTCCAATGTTAAAAATGAGAGAAACAGACAAACAGATTAACCTTTCATACGATACACAGCATAAATGAATTTATGAAAACAGTAATTTTGACTTGTCATTGAGCAACATAGGGTATCAGTATGACACAATAACGATCACTATAATTACAACCATTTGACAAATTTAGGAGAAAAGATTAAAATTGTATTGTAATTGAGAAAGCCAATACACGGCTTACATACACAAATTACAGCCTGTACAAAGCTAATCACAGGAAGATAAAATAGGAAACTAACCTTCCTAAAAAATGAATTAGAATGAATTTCTATATTAGTGGGATTCTCTAACTTATTATCCCATAATTCTAGGAAAGTCTATATTAGTGGGATTCTCTAACTTATTATCCCATGATTCTAGGAAAGTCAATGATACACATAAAATACATTCCTTACGAATCCACCTATGGAGGGAATAAATCTTCTACTTTCCAATACTCCCCCTCAAGCTGGGGAATATGCATCTTTCATTCCCAGCTTGGAAATAGATTCTTGAAACGCTGCACTTCCTAGTCCTTTTGTAAGCACATCAGCAAGTTGACCATTGGTTGAGACGTATGGAGTACAAATTAAGCCACTATCCAACTTCTCCTTTATGAAATGTCTATCTACTTCCACGTGCTTTGTTCTTTCATGTTGAACAGGATTGTGAGCAATGCTAATGGTAGACTTGTTGTCGCAAAATAACCTCATTGGTCCTTCCCACTTGATTCTCAAATCTTCCAGAATTATCTTGAGCCATAATAACTCGCATACTCCTTGAGCCATTGCTCTAAACTCTGCCTCCGCACTCGATCTAGCTACCACATTCTGCTTCTTACTTCTCCATGTTACAAGGTTGCCTCCAAGGAAAGTACAATAACCAGTGGTGGAACGTCTATCAATGAGTGAGCCTGCATAATCTGCATCAGTGTATGCCTTTAAGACTAATCCAGTGTTCCTTTTAAATAAAATTCCCTTGCCAGGACTAGTTTTTAGATAATGTAGTACTCTGTAGACTGCCTGTAGGTGAACTTCTCTTGGGTTGTGCATAAATTGGCTAACCACGCTCACGGTATATGCAATGTCTGGCCTTGTGTGA